TTGCCCCTCCTGCTTGTGCATGCGAGTGCTTCGTTGAGGGTGCATCAGGGGACAGCAAGGGAATCAGTTGAACGGTACAGCTTCTTTCTGGACCACTGCCCAGCTGGTGGCCTGTTCCCACCCCAAAGAACTTTAGGGCAGGAGACAGGCACAGCAGGGACACCTCTGACAACTGTGCAAAATGGCAGCTGTTAGTGGCACCCTCTGGCTAGCCACTTGGCAAGAGTGGAAGCCAACTGCTCTTGCCAAGCAGCTGTTTCTGGCCTTAGTACCAGAATGAGCTGTGTTTTCCAGGTTCAGATGCCATGACACACCATCATGGTACTGAGAAACATAGACCAGATCATTGATTCTGTTTGTGGTTTCTGAAGACCTTACATACTGTACTGAAATTCCATGATAGGGCATGGATGGTATGACAGACCCACAGTGGTGAAACAACAACATATCTTGTCATGTTATGTGAACCTGGCCATTGTCTGAGGGAGGACAGGGAGGTAAAAAGTGCCTTCAACCATTACTCCTGCATTGCATCAGATGCTGGTAAGCCTCCAAGGACTTACAGATATCCTGATAGGATGTCAGCCACAAAACTGAGATAGATTTAGCACCATTTTAACTCTTAACATCCTCCATAACATAGCTGGGATATTAATTCAGCTCAGAGGTAAGGAACATCACTCATATTTAACACCACTCCTATTTTCCCTATATTTGTAATCCAGTTCATATGATGGTCATGGTCTCACATCGAAATTGGGCTAGTTTCAGTTTAGGCTCTCACTTAAAATCAACTAATGCAACATGTACTTTGGAATAATTGTACACTGAAAAATATCCATTGTTGTTGTTTAGTCGCAAAGTCGTGCCCGACCCATCATGATCCCATGGACAACATTCCTCCAGGCTCTCCTGTCCTGAAAAATATACATGCAAAAGGTTAACTGTTTATAGATGAAAGACAGAAAAAACCATTTGTGCATATAAACTAACAATGGGGAACATGCAAAATATAGGAATACTTGAAAAGAAGGAAAGGTTAAAAGTAGTGCTGTGGTGAAACTCACCTCGCCTTTCTCAACCTCTTCACTCCCCTGTGAAAGAAGCAATTTTGCAGAAATTTTTCAGCATCTGGGCTTCAGTGCTTACCTTACCCTAAGAAGGTAGCTGTGAGTTCTGTGTGTATTCTTTCTTTTACCTTTTCTGTTATGTCCTTGCAGCATCTTTGGCAGTCATAGGCGGCGGCGGCGGCGGCGGCTGCTGCTGCTGCTGCTGAAGTAAAAAGAAAAAGTAGTCCTAACTCAGCTTTCAAGCTCTCAGCAAGCAGAAAGCACCAAAGGAGGAAGTGCAGCTGAAGGAGAGGGGACTCAGAAATTTTAAGCAGCTGGAGAAGCTGCAAAGACAGGACCAGGTGAAAATGGAGAAATAAAGAGCATGCACCACCTGCCACCATGGAAGCTTGCATACTGAGAAATTTCTCTGAGATCCTCACTCCTTTCCACAATCTTCAGGTGCAATTTCCGTTCATCTCCCTCCCGCATCACTACATGAATGTTGAAAATATATAGTCAACACATTTAACAGAGTACTAGTTAAAAGTACTCCTGAGGGGACACTAAACTCATCATAAACCCTGGAAAATCAGGATTCCCAGTCACATGGAATATGGTAGGGTCTCTTCTTCAGACATCACCCTTCATGGGAAGAGGGCAATGGATGTAACAATGAAGAATGGTGAGGCTGGAATGCTTCGTCTCCTCATGCGTTGATAGAATTTGGCAATAAGTATCTTGAACAGCACTATAAAGAAACAGTGAGGCTCAGTGGTTTGAGTTTTGGACTGAGGATCCAGATCTGGGTCCTAGTTTCCACTATGGCCATGCAGCTTACTTGTTGGCTTTGGGCCAGTCACCCTCAGCCTAATCTTCCTCACAGGGTTGTTGTAAGGATTATGTAAGCTGCCCTGCCTTAGAAGTGGAAAGAAGGCATGGTATAAATCATGGGTCCTCAAACTACGTCCCAGGGGCCGAATCCAGCCCATGCCCATTTGGACCTGCCATGTGTGCACCTGCGCCCACGCATGCGCCCGCCGTCCACCTCGCCTCATGCGGGGAGGCAGCAGTTTGATTGCTTGGAGAAAACCATTTCCAAGCGAGCAAGCCGCTGCCTTGTGCGCCCTGCCTCGCGGCATGTGCCCATCCCCACCACACCGTGCTTCCCCTCGCACGCGCACGCACCCCTGCCTCAGTGCATGCACCCACATGCGCCACCCCTGCTGCCAGCACCACCATTCCAGCCCGCGCTCAGCACCAGCACCTTTCAACTGGCCCCCTGGTGAAAAAGCTTGAGGACCCCTGGTATAAATGCATGGTGATAGTCATGGTGACAGATCTAGACCCTGGAAACCATCCCACTGCAAAGTTTACTCAAGAAGGCATCTGCACCTTATTTCCTAATGTAGCTCTTCACTGACAGGCTGCTATTGCCACCTTGTGGACAGCTGAATTTTCTGCCCTATTAATATTTGTGGGAATAATACAGTCTTTATTTGTGACTTCTTGTATAATGCTGAGGTTAATAGGGACACAGTGAAACTGGAAACACTTATATTTCTGGTTGACAGTGCCAGAAATAATAGCAAGTTGTTCAAAACTGAATTGCTCAAAAGGACGGCTTTAGCTCTTTGGCAGTATAGAAAACGGCTAATTGCATTAAATAAGTCATTGCAAGCTGGAACCTTCCCCAAATATTTTGGAGTACTACTATGCAGTCTTGAGGTACTGGGTTTCTTTCCAGGTATTGATTCACTAATATTTGTAATGACCAGTTAAACCAGATTGATCTTTTTTCATTTTTCTCCCTCAAACTTCCCACAATTACATCGGGCCACCTCACACCAAATCAGGCAGCAAACCTGACTTAGCCACCCTCTGTACATGCAGTAGGAAGTATGGCTGTATGATGCATGCAAAATGGGTGTAAACCAGACCTTTAAAAAAAGTTTGCGCAGTGCAGAGATCAGCCTTTCCACATACCACCATATACTTTTTTTCTAAATCAACTTTTTCTGTTCTCAGTACTAGATTTTCCCTCTGTAGTTATTCAAAACTCTTCCATATTCTGTTGTGTAATAAAAGCAATCAATCTCTCTTGACTTCCATTTAAGCTACTTTTTCCATCTGTATTAAAAATGGTCTTTAGCAAAACCCTTCCTAACCATATTTTACTTGCACTCCGAGATGCCACTCATCCTCCTTCCTTCCCTTTCCAATTTAGCTATTCTTTGCCTCCCTCAGATCCATTCTTTATCTAACAAGCATTGATTTAGATGTTCCTGCCAAGGACTCACCATTTTTGTACAACAATGAGCAAGATGAAATAAAGGGAAGGTACAGATACACATTGGATGCAGCTCGATGGAAGAATAGGTGTTTAAAATTAAAGGTTTTAGCACCTCTGGATATTGCCTTTAAATATACAGCTGGGACCATCCATTAGCAAAAAGCAAATGTGTTAATATTTTTGCTATTGCATTGACATGAAAAGTAGAATAAAGCATGCACTGACAGTGGGCTTTTGACACCTCCCAAAAGGTTGTGTATTTTGTATTTCCATGATAGTGAGTGTAGAATACTGCATTATGAAGAACTCAACTTTCATTTGAAACTTATTATCTCTTATGATTGTGAAGTCTCAGAAGAAAAAAGGGTGGTGATCAGCAGGCCTTCCAGAGACAGTCTTAAATACTGTTCATAAAGTTGAAGTGTTTCTGTAGCTGACACTTCTGTACTGAACAATGAAGCAGGCTACCTGCTCCATGCTTGAAAGGTTCTTTTTCCAACCACAGTAACTGCCAGATTTTAATTAAGCACACACAACTTTTGTTCATAGCAATGAAGCAACAACAGCACCCAGAATTCATGTGATCATCATCTTACGGGCTCAAGTTATAGATTCTATGTTCACCAGGTACAGAAGCAAACAGAATTCCTCCTGGATTCTATTGACAAGAATCATCAGACAGGATGCTTCCATCCTGTTTTGACAAATGTGTATAACCTATGCCCAACTGCTCCCAGCACTACTTAGAGCTCCTGCCCCAGGGACTGGATATAAGTATGGGGAAGGGAAGATGTATGACTATGTGAGGGTGTATATAATATGCATGTGTGGCCCTTGCCTCCCATGAGAATATGATAGTCAGGGCAACAAAAAGGTCATGCAACCTTGCTCTATAGAACAGTGACTGGTGTGGGTGTTTTAAGAATAAGGCACATAATACATAGCACATAGAATAGGCAGCTATAAGTACTGTGAGAATATTCTATGAAAATCTGCTGTATCAAAGCACTGGCACAGGCTGCTAAACTAATAAAAGTTCTCTTAGGAAGCAATAACCAGTAATGCTAAGATGTGTTGGGCTTTCTCATGGGAAGTTGAACATAGAGCTCAGCAATGGAAACTAAAGAGATAGATTTGGCTACCCTGCCTCACTTAAACAGATCTGCATGTCCTGAACAGGCCAGAAGATGGCAAGGTTTACACCCCTCATCTATAGATAGTGAACTGGGAGGAGGGTCCCCACAAGGGTGCTTACAGTGCTTACACTTTCTATCTGACCTGTTTTTAATGATTAATAGAGTTCAAAGTAAATATAAACATTAAAATAAAAACTTTTACTTATTCTGCTTTAAAACCATCTAGGCAGTTTATATGAAAACACTTGAGAAGTGTAGATTGCCCAAAAGGGAAAAAAATCGACTCTAACACCACCCTTCAAAGGTAACCTTGGATAAGTGGGACAGGATCTGCACAACAGTTGATTAGTACTCTTTCAACAGCACCTTGTGACTGGCTTGCTACCCCTAATACTTTATCAAAAGCACAATATAAAAACATTGCAGGGCTTTAAAACCACAACAGTACTCTGTATTTATCTACTACAGCAGTTATAAATCAATAATCTCTTGGCAGGGACAACCTTCAAGACAATTTGAAAGTAGCTTGCAAAGTTTCTTTATTACATTCTATAGATTAGCGTTAAACTGATTATATACAGAAATATAACTTTTAAGTATAAAAAGCCAGTAAGATATCAAATCCTTTAAATCTGTATAAAGTGAAAGGTTGTCTGGCTCTATCTTTACCTTTTTAAAATGATATAAAAATAAAATTCTCAGAATCATGGTTTTGATTTAAAGTTTTAGTTTTTCATGTCTCATTACTCAAATGAAGCTGAAGAGACATCCTTCATTGCTGCATGTAGCTCTTTTAAATATTTCCATGGTAAGCCGAAGATTTATTGAAAGTGAATTCATTTTATTTCAGGAAGTCTGGTTTTGGGGGATTTTTTAAATGGCTCCAAACTGGAGAAAACTAGTGAGAGAGAATACTTAAAACAGTACCAAAGAGGAAAGATGTTTAATTCTGAGTATAATAATTTCTGTGGCCCAATCTTATGTATGCTTATTTAGAAGCCAAGTCCCACTGAATTCAAATGTGACATTTTCAAGTATGTACACAGGGTTGCAACCTTGATACAGGTCCAGATGGCTCAATGAAATTCTACAGCAGTGCACACCAGACTATCACGATGCCTCAAGGCAATAATGAATTAAAATTAAGCATTCCATGAACAAGCTTTCTGGCCTACTGAAAGTCAGGAACATTTGTTTGTGTAACACACATTCCTCCTATACATGTAGACGTTATACAGAAACTGGATTTAAGAAGGCTACTTAACTGTTAGAATGTACCAGAATAAAATACACAGGGCCTTTATATGGTTGATTCTCGTTCATGTATAGCTTTAAACCCCCGCCCCCCCAAAAAACATACAATCTTCTCTGTCACATTACAAAGAGCAGTACATTGAAGCAATGGATATTGTTACCCATTTGCTACAGAAGTACACATTTATGTGAAACTGGATGAAATTGTTACGAAGCACTGCATTTACTTTAATAGCTTTGGCAATGAGTTATTTAAAACTGCTTACCTAGGCTATTTGAATAATAGTTTGAAAGCCAAACAATAAGCTTCCAATAATGCTCAATAATCCAAGTGTATGCTTTGACAAACTACATAACATGATGATTCAAGACACATATGAAACTGCAGAATTATCTTTACATATAATTTTGTTGCTATATGAACAATTATATTAATACTGATTTCTGGTAAACTGGTAATTTCCCATGAGTTTTAGTGTATCTGTAATTTGAGGCAGATTGCAATTAAATCAACATTCCTTTCCCTACAGTGTTCTAGAAGTTTATAGGCACCTTATAAAAACAAAGAACAAAGAGAACTGCTGTAGAATTCCAGTAGCCCATCCTTAGAATTTTCTTTGCAATTTATGTTTATAAATTGTCCATAACAAACCAGCATGCTGCACTTGGCAAAATCTGTGCAAATACACAGCATCCTACTGCAATAAAAAAGCAAACTGTATTTTTTAAAAATGGGAAAAGGAAATCCTTTAAAACCAAAGGTCTTTACCAATCTAGTCTTTTTTAACATTTCAGATAGTAAGAGAAATACCCACATATAGGATGGATGTTAGATTCAATTTCAAAAAGTAAAATAGAATTTGTTTCAGCTATCAGAACAATTAGAACATTTCAGTTTTCTAGTATACAAATTTGAGAGAGAGAAGAGGCTGAAATTTGCAAACTTTAAATCAAAACTGAATAGGTGGGGTTCAACCACAATAAATAACTTTCAAAATATTTCCCCTTTAAAAAGTGCAAAATTCCATTCATACTTGCCTATCTTTGTTCATATATATATATATATATATATATATATATATATATATGGGAATGAGACACAGCATCCACTCATATATGCAGGAGGCGGCATCTGGATTGGCTTCTGAAAAAATACGTACACTTGGCTTTAGAAGGAAACAGTTATTCAGTAATCTTGGATACCCAATGGAGTTAGTTTTAACACTGTGTCCAGATACATGCAGCGTATTTGTTGGCAGAGTACTGAGATACAGTATTAAAATTGCTCCTGTTACCCAGTTTTAGATCACTGTAGGCAGCTGCCATTTTTAAAAGAACAAACTCTGGTAAGATTCTCATACGTGCCATTAAAATGTGTTACCCTTTCAAACTTATACTTTATTAAGGTGCTAGAAAATCAGTCTTTCATAACACATTTTCCTGAAGTCTATTAAATATTCGCTGCCTGTGCTCTATTGTTAAACAATATCCAATAGCAGCTTCAGTTTCTTGAATTCTTTTATGAAAGCGGCACCCATCACGTGCAAGTTCTTCCCAGGGTCCTTTGCGATCTTCCTCATTGCTTATATAATACTCGGTCACTTCTTCAAGGAAAGTCACCTATAAGGCACAAAATTAGATCAAATTATTTACATACTTTTATATAATACCCATTTTATAGTAAATGTACTTTTAAATGCCAACACAAACTTAAAACACATTGCTGTCAGACCTATTTATTATTTGGGAGAAAGAATATGTCCATTTCATGGTATATTATAAAGGAGGGATTCCCTTGTGGAATATATATTAATCAATGTTTATGTGACTGGTACAATTTAGACTGTAATCTTATTCACTGGTGGTTGGAACTAAGACCCATTATGGAACTGACTTCCCTGTAGAATACATAGGATTATACTGTTAGTGTATGGAAAAATCAATAGCTGTCGGTTGAAGAACATACAGTATGGTAGCCATTAGCTGATTTAGTTATACCAAGAGAGTTGGTATTCAAGATAGTTATGTGAGAAGTATCCGAATTTCATATGAAGGAAGTCAACTATGTTTACATCTAAATATTTTTATGTTATGAAAACTTTACTGAATTAGGTTGGATCACTTAGAATGCACTGTCCCCAGCTGAAGGCTATGACTGGTAATATGAAGAGCCAACCTCTAATGTTGTTGCTTTGTTAACCAAATCTCAGATAAGATTTGTAAAAACAGTTATATTTTTCACCCCTTTTATATTTTTTCACCCCTTACCCCTGCTAAGAGGCTACACAAATTAATATTTCCATAAATTTAAGGGCATTCAAGAAACTAAAACATAAAGTACATATAAAATAGCTTGCAAGATTACTATAGCCCTTAAGCCTAGCTGAATTGATGTGCTTTAACCCATCATCACTGGAAAACTTTAAAGAGACATCAAAGGGCCAATCTACTGCAGATTAGTGCTTTTTTCTGTCTCTTCGGAACATCAATTTTAGTACTCAAACAGCTTCTTCACTTATTCGTCACTATTAAATTATTAAAGTTTAAATTATTAAACTTTGGACACAATCCTTTATAAGTTTAGACAGGAAAAATGCCTACAAGCTGTCATATGATTCTAGGCATCAAGCCTATCCTAAACGCAAAGGAAATAATGTTATTAAGTAAAGCAAATGAGGCCCTTACAACCCATACATGTGTGTGGTACCAGATCCCTTAAAGTTGTTAACTACCTTCATACAAGACACAAGCATGCTGGATGTTACATCAGCCTCTCCCTCTGTGCCTTATCCTTTCTTGTCTTTACATCATTCTAAGATATTCTCTAGGGTACCATTACCAGGTCTTGTAACATTATACTATATATTGCATGCAGAACTTGGTTCATTTACTGTGTTGCTAGAAAGAGATACACAAGGGGTTTGAAATTTGTTTTGAAAGAAGTCACTACAAGCAATCTACAGTGAACTGTAAGCTAAAATATGCAATTTCATAGCTTGAGATTTCTGAAATCCCATGTTATTTTACTGGTTAATTATTCTCTGTAATCTAGGCAGTATAAACTGCTATGAATGAGTGCTGAACAGTGAGGAATTTTTAATTAGAAAGTTACTAAGTCAAAAACAATTACCAGAATATTCCAATCCTTTGGCTGGACATAACATCCATAAGACAAATCAATTAAGTGGACACAAAGACATCCATTCTAGTAGCAGTTCATGGGTTAGTCACATACAGTTTTACTTAATTAGGCATATTTCAATATTAACATTAGCTACTTTGTAGCCCACCTATATTTTGTGATGCATTACACTTCTTCGTGATAGGAAATGGAAAAATCAGTGTGCAGCCTAGGTTACACTGTACCTAGGCTGTCTGTAAGGCATGGACTTTTTAATTTTTTTTGTATTCCAGCTTTAGAAGAAATTAATTCAAGCCATCTCAAAGATTTAATTCTAATTCAATATGTAAGGCAATGATTAAATCCTCACTTGGGCATGAAGCTCTTTAAATGTCCTAACCTATCTCAAGTTTGCTGTTGGGATAAAAGTGAGGGCATGAGAAAAAACATGTATGCCACCTTGTGTTCCTAGGATGTTAAAGCAAGATGTAGAGGCTTAAAAAAATATAAAGCAATTAATTTGTATAAGGAAACACTATTCTATTATAAATGCTTTTATTTCTATCTCTTGGCTACAGAACTGTGGTGTCATAGAAAACCTCTTGACGTTGCTGTAATTACACAATCAATTTTAAATCAAGTGGTTTTATGTCATGGGAAAATAAATACAAAATTGTACAAGCAGATCTAAACACAATCCCAATTTTCCAAGCTTAAGGACCATTCCTCATGAGGACTTTTTAAATGGAAGTAATTCTGATTGATTGATTGATTGATTATTTATTTATTTATTAAAACATTTTTATGCCGCCCCATTCGCCGAAGCCTCAGGGCGGCTTACAACGTTAAATTAAATTAGGACATATATCTGGCAAAAATAAAAGTTTATTCTGCTGCAAATGCATGCATTTCTAAGCCATTTTGCAGACGAGAGCATCAAATAATAGAGCACCGTTTCAAACTATTCAGAAGTTTGAATTTGAACAGTGTGCACTCCAAATTGTTATACGTGTAACAAAACTATTTAAAAACTCTGGGGTTAATTCAATGTTGTGCTACAGCTGTCTCCTAGTGCAACAGGATTTCCCCCCTCCCTTCCTGCACTCTTTTGCACCACCAAAAATCATATATATCTAAGTGCTTTCCCAGCCCTTCAGAGAAGAGGCTATGCAAAAGTGAGGGGAATCAACCCACATTTCTGCTGACAGAGCTACTTCAGTTGGTGAAACAAGAACATGGAATGCAACCATTAAAAAATACAAATATTAGCCAATTACTTGAAATTATTCTGAAAATCATGGACACTGCTATCCAAGCATCGATTTTTCATTTTATAGCTTTTATATCCCATGCTTCACAGTGTCTCAGGGCGGTAATACAATAAAATAAATAAATTTTAGGAGTTAGAATTCTCCAACATGGTAACCTATAGGAGTTTTTGGACTGCTTTTCCCTACAGCCAACATGGGAATTGTAGTTTCAAAACATCTGGAGCACATCAAGTTGGGCAAGGCCGCTTAGAAAGAACAGCCTGATGCAAAAATGCAGCACACTATTGCATTTATTGGCACCACTTCCAGCTTAGTACCAAAACAGCCTAGGGAAACCAAGCAAGGGGGTGGGAGAAGACAGTCAATGTCTGAAAAGATAAAGCAAATTGACTGGAATGTGGCTTTTGTCCTAGTAAAAATTTGAAGTACTAAAGGGCATATGATACCAAGGGATTCTTCTGGCTAGTTGGGCAGGATAAAAATCAAACAAACAAACAAACAAATGATACATTAGTCACATGTAACAGATGGAGCCTGGTGCTTATTAGTCAGTTCTTATTGAAGCAACAGGCAATGCAGAAAACCCTGTAAAGCACAGATCACTGAAGCATTTAACTGCTTCAGGTTTAAAATTTCCAATTGCTAGTATCTTCTGACTATATTTTGTCTTTCTAGTTTGTTTCCTCCATTTTTATGTGTTTCACATTCAGCACATGTATCTCTTTCCAGACAACAATTAAAAGTAGTGTATGGAGCAGTCCTGTCTAAGTTATCCCGACCATGCAATAGCCATCTTTGATTCATTTTGGTAAATATCATGAAATAGTTTTGGAAAAAATATTTTTACCACACAGTACTGAATCTTTGATGAACAGGAAAGGAATTAGGTAACTATGACTAAAGCTGTGACAGTATGCAATTTCAAACTCAACAATTCAAGTTGCCTCTCAGAAACCTGATCAGGTATATCCAATTATTTACTTTTTAGCCACCCTACAGGTCCAGTATAAAATTTAAAACATACCTTCAAGCTTGCACATCAAAATACAGACAAATATGAATCATACCTTTTTCCTCTTCTTACACGTTCCTCTAGAAAGGATGCCATAGTTCACATTTTCTGTAACCTCTGAGTTTTGGCTATCAAGCAGGTGCACCTGACAGCTAAGGAAGATGTTCTGTTGAGAAGGGCCAAGGCCTACTGCTGTTGGTTCTCTTAAGTCACATTTCCTTTTTTCTGCAGCCTGAAACTGTGCCTTGAAGTTGAAAGGGTTATAAGGATCCCCCAGGTTACAGAAAGAGTTCCACAATTTCAAGTTTTCTGATTCATCTACACTACTAGACTCCCATTCATCTTCCTCACAGGAACTTTCAGTCCACGAGGAAGAATCTTGTTCCACCTCTGTCTCATCTGGCCCAGTGGGAGGTCCCTTCTCGGGAGCAGTCCCAGCAGTATGAAGAGCTGCTGTGAAATTTCGAGGGTCATAGGGATCCAGGCTATGAAAGGAGTTCCACAAGTGATTGTTTTCCCCATCCTGACTTTCTGTATCTGAGTCTGATAGAGAGCCTTCACTATCAAACCCATCATCATCTTCCTCCTCCTCCCCATCGTAGTCCTCCTCCCCGGCACTCTCCTCCCCGCTGCAAGCGCCCCCCAGGATGTAATCTATCAGCTTGTTCGTACACGCAGGTCTGGCCTCCACGAACAGCTCTTCCTCTAGATCGGAGTCCTCACCGGAGTCGGATTTGACCTCCGGAGCCCGTTCCTCAGATGGTTTCCTCCGGTCATAAGGCCCACACGTGTTCCCCGAATCTAGGTGCTCTTCCTCGCAACACTCCAGACTCTCTTTCGGGGCCCAAGAATCACGCTGTTGCTCCTCCACCTCCAAACTGCAATAGCCACAATCGGGATCCGACACGCCAAGGGCAGCTTTGCTCTCCTGCAGTGGCACCTTCTGCAGGAACTCCGGGAACTTAGTGTGCAAGCGTGGGGCCATCGGCAGCTCCTCCCAAGCCGCACTCAGGGGTGCAGGCAGGGAGCTCTTGTCAGCACCGCCTAGCACGGAGGAGGAGGAGAGCAGGCGCAGCTGGTGCTGGACGGCAAGAAGCGGAGCCAGGCCGGGTGTCCCCCACACTGGCACGGAGGGCTCTGGGCCGGTGGCGTGGGTCTCGGACTGAAGCCAGAAGAGGGGGGCAACCGGGAATGGCAGGAGGCGCTGACGTATCTGGGAAAAGAGCCGCAGCAACGAAAACGGGGCGTCGGCCTGCGCCTGCGGCAACGATGCCGCGTGAGCATCGAGGCGAGAAGCCGCTTGCTCCCTTCTTGGCTCCATGCTAGCTCGGCTCGTCTTACCTCAGCGCTTCTGACCCATGTGGCCCGGCCGCTCATTCCAGCCAGAGAGGTTCTGAAGTTTCCGAAGGGAGCAGTGGCCTCTTCTTCGGCTGGGCCGCGCCATCTTTCCGGCAAAGGAAGCCCCTAGCTTCGGAGCTCGAGCAGCTGCTTACGCGGGAAAGACAAAATGGCGGCCGCCTAGAGCGCAGCGGTTAGGCTGTGGAGGCGGGAGACCCCGTCCAGGAGCGACGGCACACGCGCACGCGCCCCCCGAGCAGCGCCGGCCGGGAAGACCATGTTCTTCTACCCGAAAAGGAAGATTAAAGGCTCGGGTGGCGCTTCCAGGAACATCCGGGCCAGCGAGACGGCATCTGAGACTTCGTGGTTGGTTCTCTGTTCTGGCAGAGCCCCGCCTTCCCCGAGAGAAAACTTTGGTAAGCGGCGTCTGCTGCGGCCAAGCGATTGCATCAGCCAGTTGCCGTACAGCGCTTCCGTACGAGCACTTCCAGTGCTAATTCATGGCTTCATTGGGTCACAAAAACTTTCCAAGCGGCAGTCCAAATAAAGCAACCGGTTATACTTGTTAATGTTACGCATATGAATATTTTTCCACATTGGTAGACGCTTATTTGACTTGTTTTGGCAAAATTCAATCAGCCGCCCTTTCGATAAAATGGCACCACCCACGTAGAGAAGGAAGCAGGCGGAGGGCAGAGGGAATCCCAAGGTGCAAAAAGTACGAAAACGGAGAGATATGCAAAACTGCCCCATTGAGCATTTTTTAAATATCCGTAACGGAAAACGGGGGGCAAGAAAAGGAGGGGAAGAAGCGGACTGGCACGCTGAACAAGAGCATTCGACGTGGCAGCATTTTGCAGGATTCACTTTTTCCCGGGTTTCAAATGTTCTAATTTTGGAAGTGCACACGTACCTTACACCCATCCTAGTTAATAGGTGCTAAGCAGTCTGCAAGCTCTGGTCACTTTTTTCCCCCACTTGCACGTATACAGAACTGGAGAAGTCCTCCTGAAAAGCTAACCAAAGTGTAAAGGTACGAAGTACGCTTTCCTGGAGGGTGGCACAAAGGTCAAGGTACTCTGCGAACAGCGATAACATAGTAGTAGCCATGAAGGTCAGTTTCACATTGGGACTAGAGCGATTACAGGCATGCATGGCTAGTCTTCCGACCTCCAATGTAAATATTTGCTAGGATGGATCAGATCAAAGGTTCCTCTAGATTAACCGAGCATTTCTGTTTCCATCAATGGCCAGCGTGCGTCATGCATCTGGGAAGAATCTGAAGTGAAAAGCCCAGAATCCTCCCTTGCTGCTTGCTTGCTTCTTCCATACTGAGAGGTGTACATTAGTTAATTTAATAGATTATGAATTGAGATGTAAGGCAACAGTGAGGAGCTGGTGGGTTTTCACTGCCAGCCTCATCAGCCTTAGCCAGCTTGGTCCATTGTCAGGGATGATGGTGTTAGGAGTCCAACATCATTCCAAGCTTCCCTCACCCCTTCGTGGGTATTTAGCCTATGCATACTTACTAGGGACACAGCCGGACTTCCTTCCGCATAGGTTCAGGCTCACTGGGGAAAGTGGAAGCCTGAGGAAGAAAAGGAAGGTCAAATATGTGATGGATGGACTCTATAAAGGAAGCCACAACCTTGAATTTATAAGAGCTGAACAAGGCTGTCATGGATAGGGCATTTTGGAGAGAAGAGCTTTCATACATAGGGTCGCCATAAATCAGAGATAACTTGATGGAACATAACAACAAGAGGTTCAGGTTGCACACCTAGGAAGTTGCCCTGATTTTCTGCTTATGCATAAGAGTATTCTGAAAATCACCAAATTAAAAGGCAGAAAGTGTAATTTTTTAGGCGGTAAACACTAAAGCCTGATAACACATGTATTTATTATAAGCAACATTTATTGTTTAAGGCCAAACCCATACATGTTTAGACAGAAAAAAGTCCTAGAATTCCTGGCATTCCTGACAACATGGCTAACTGGAGAATTCTGGGAATTATAAGATTTTTTTCTGTTGAAACATGCATAGGATTGAACCCTTAATTGATAATAAGCCACTGCAGACAGACAGTCTGTGACAGTACATACAATCTAGCTCACCAAATGTTGATCACTAATCCATTTGCACTGTTTCATTCCTTAATTCAAGTTTGCTTTTTCTCAGGCTGTTGCTGGAGGCTTTAACAACTCATTGTATCAGAGCACACATCTGTTGTTGGGCCCATCTCTTTTGGTGCCTGATACATATTTTTGCCAGCCTAGCAGTGATACACATTTCGTAGCTGCAATCTTTTAATCCTACTTCCTGGAATCAGCTGTTTTATTTCTTCAGTGTCCCAAATGTTGCAAGGCCAATTCACTTTTTTTGTCCTTATGTCATAGTGTCATGTGGTCATCATTATCCTCTTTTATAAACCAGGCTGCTTTGTGGTTTTGAGTGTATGTTTGAAGTTTAGATGGAATAAGGAAACTCCTCTCAATTATTTTAATGTTGCTGGCATCATATGCCAAGAACAGGCATGTACAGTAACCTGGAGCTAATGCAGGTTGAAATATTTACAGAAACAGTCTTGAGAAAACCTGGTACTATTATAGATAGGCACACATCTTCCTGATGTGTAAGCTTATTCTAATTGTGGGTTTTTTTGGGGGGGATGTTGTTTTGCTGGCAAGACTAGGCATCTTTGCCTTAAACAGCATCATGACTTACTAATAGGAGCTAGCAGGTGCTATTTCAAACTCATGTCTCCTTCCCCGTATCAGGAATGTGGACTACATGCTCCTCCAAATGTTGCTGTACCACAGCTCATGGTAACTCATTACCATTGGCCATGCTGACTATGCCCAAGGAGAGTTAGAATCCAACCACGTCTGGAGGGTCACATGCTCTCTACTCATTTTATACACTGATAAGCCTTGTTCATTGGCAACCCAACTAGCACTATCCAATCTAGTACCTAGGACACTCAAAGAATCTATAGTCTCCACCAGTGTTTGCTTGCTCATGTCATGGGGCTGTTGCAATAGCTATGCAATCCATGCTAAAGATGTTATTACGTTACCTGATTATTAAACTAATACCTGGTTAAATAGGCATGGGTATTGTATTAGTCATAATTGCTGCGCATACCAACAAAGCACAACAAGCAAAGCAACATCCATTTGGAATGCCGTGGAACATTGTTGATGCCACACTGACACCAGCCTTGGCTATAGTCTATTTGTTTAACAAAGGTTGATGCTGCAAACAGCTGAGAGGTGACTGATCCTGAGGGAATCCAAAGAAATTGATAGTCCGGCTGTGGCTGTTCAAAACATGACATTTGTGTGCATGAAAAACACAGTATACTTGAGTTTCCCATCTGGAAAGTTGCCAAATTCCATACGGAGGCAACTTTTGATGTGAGGGTGCGGGCCTAGAGACCAAATCCAGCTCTCCTGGGGCTCACTGGCCACTCCTTTCTCCAACCACCAATTGTTTGATATCTTCCCAACTTTTATGTAGGTTTTCCCCTTCTCAGAGGCTGAAATCCTGAAAAATGATATGCCTCATGCCTTTAATATTTGTGTAGAAAAGTTACTGCATCTTCAGCCCTTAATATTCTCAGTTCTGTGGGTTTAATAAGAGCAGATAATACCCTTCTATAGAAGATCACTCAAGCCTTCAGCTGACCCTTCTTGTTATATTATTTATGTATTCCTTATGTAGAGCACAGAAAGAGTCAAACAGGTTGCATAATTTTTGATATTCCTATGAATGGCTATGCATAAAGACATAGTTGTCCATAATTAGGACCAACTTTCAGTTTGATATAACAGCCTGTAAATGACAAGTTCTGGTGCCAAACTAATTAGAGTATCAAAGCACAAAACCGTTCTTGCAGATTTAATAATCTGCCCTGCAAACTTGGTATGAAGCTTCAAGATTAAAATAAGGCAGGAGGCAATTCATGGCCTACAGTTCCCATGATCCCTCCTCACTGGCTATGCTAACTCAGGCTGATGGGAACTATAGGCCAAATCATCTGGAGGGCTGAAAGCTGTCCACTCCTGATAAGGATATGAGGAAGGATGGGAGCAGTGGGATCAGGAGCTACACTATTCCTACATTCATTCCCCATGGAAGGGGCATCATGGAATCTGCAAATCCCATTCTACAGGAGAACATGTAGCTTTTAGTTGAATTATACGGCTTCTCCTCCAACACTGGGATCGGTTTGTGGAAAAATCAAGGCCAAATGACTAAGGAGCTTCTGTGAAATCATCTGCCAATTTTCTAATCAGACCCCATGCAGCATAGCCTCTGTAATCAAGCCTCAGAAGAAACCTTGCTAATATGAGGGTGGTGATTGGTGCAGGGGATGCTTTCTTTTTAAATCTGTTCACTGCAGAAGACAATGGAATAGCACAGCATCTCTTGAATTCCATTTCTTTTTTATTCATTTTTAATCAATGCCATAGTTTTACAACTGAGAAAGATACAAGTATCCATAAGGTGCCATCTCTACCTCATTTCCTATAGGACAGATGACATAACCAGAGAACATGGCCAAGGTTCCCTCTTACAGTCACCTCTCTGAAAGTCACCTGCATCATTGTCCAGATAAATGAAATACTCCCTTCAACCTATCCTCAGTCTGGAGAAGGGTGAAAAGAAGGCCCTTCCACCCAACCATGTTTACTTCAGAACATATCACCTGTCAGATACAATATTTTTAAAACTTCAATCCTGAGAAATGTTTAATCACTTAGGGAGTTCCCACTGTAAACAAGCAAGCCCTCAAGGGCTGGTAGATGAAGAAGGCAGCGGGGTAGGTCTGAAATTCCAAGACTCTTGCGTGGGATGTGGAAAGATGAGCCCTTCTCCCACGATGAAGCGCTCTTTTATTCAGGGAGGCAAATGGCAATATCCAAACAGGACAAAAAATCATTTATTAATTATTTAAAATTATTTTCAAAAACAACAACAACAACGACAACAACAATCTGGTCTTTATATAGCTGTAAAGAGAAAAAGTTTTAAAGTTGATAATTTCCCTATCCCCACATTGTTTTCTACGAAGTTTTACTTTTCAAAGGTGGGAGGGGGGGAGAAGGACCACAAATAAATTGCCCTTGGCTACCCGATCTACAGGAGGTGCTGCAACGCAGTTAGTGCACACACGAGCTTTGAGGAATTACGGGTGCTCAGTGACAAATACCAGACAAACTTTTAACTCGTTGCCCGGCAACTTAGTTTTACTCCCTGCTTCCCTCCCACTGTTTTAGAAGAAAAGACAAAGATGACACTGAAGAAGGTCACCTGTGATGGCGTTAAGGCTAACTAATGCAACCTGCATTTTAGTCAATGGGAGTTAGGTAACCAGGAAAGAAGTAACCACACACCAAACACCTTGACTATTACTAGGTGTTTAGCTCTCTCAAAGAACCAGTCCTCCAGTCACAATTTTGGTGAGTCAAGGCAGATGCATCCCGCCTTGTGTCCAGGAAAGTCACTCTGCTTCCAAGGCTGAGCACACAACTTATCCCATTAGATTCAGCTCTGCAAACTGGCCAAAAGAACTCAAATTTGACAGGAAAATCAGAACAGGAAACAGGAAGTGGAAGCAACACACTGCTCTTAGACACTTGCTACAGTCAAAGCCTTTGTTTAAGCACATTTGAAATCAAGAGGAATACAGTTGCCTTCTGCCTTCCTCAGATAAGTCCAGACATTAGTCCAACAGAACATGCCTTCTAGGTTACATCTCCTAGTAGGAAAACAGAAATTCTAGGTTCTACACATGTACAAGTTACATAGCTCTCCTTTGGAAGCAAATTCTCCAAGATGGCTTGAGTTGGAGCACACCAGCTCCTATCCCAGAGATAAGGGTTTAATCTACCATTCATACTCTCTCCAAAGATCTTCCTTCACACCCTGTTCTTATGCAAACATTCCTTTAAAAATAAAAAAACACATTTGTAAAGGTCCAGTAAGAACTTCATTGATGATATGCCCCACATTATAAAGTTCTTTCTCCATCCGGACTCCACCCAACATTTGGAGTCAAATTGTTTGTTTGTTTGTTTTTTAATTTTCAATTTAAAATATCCCAAAGGGGAAAAAAGCCCCTAACATTTTATTCCTCCCCCACCATAAGTCATTGCTCCCTTGACACAAGGTAAATGTTTAAAGAAGACAAGTCTATGGCAGCCATTTCAAGTCATAAAAGAACTTCCAATCATGACTCTACCCCAAAAATGCTCACTCTCCACAGGAAATTAACTCTTCATTTGCAGGGAAACAATATTTCCATCCTTCTTATTTTCAGGAAACGAAATCCTTTCAGATAGACCAGGATACAACTCCTGGAACATGCACCAATTTTGCAGGAAGTCCCATGGGGCCAGAGTGATTCCAAAGCTACTGCAGCTGCCTGGCTGTTCTTCACATGGTCCCATGGCTCCTTGAGCCCAATTCAAACCAGCCCATCTTCTCCTGTGTCAGATCCAGGTCCCGTAGTCTGATAATGACCTCCCCAAGGAGGATGTTCTCCCAAAAGCCTTCTTCGCTCAGGACACTCAGATGCAGCTCCCGCTGGTGGAGGTCTCCTTTAGGAATCCCATCATAGACAAGCTGCAAGAAACAGAAAGTTTTGGGAGGTGAGCAAGCCTGCTCTCCTTAGAGGAGAGAACAAATAGTACCTACAACAGCATGAAAAGGTGCAGCAATTTCAGTCTCCAAAATACTATGTTGAGGGCAGTAATTCTATGCACTTTTATAGCACATCTTAACCCTGAGATTCTATCTTTTGCCTAGCTAGATTAGGTGTCATCTGTCACAGAAAAGCAAGAATATATGAATATAACAAGCCACTGAAACAGGCAGCCAGTCAGCTCTGAAGCAAAACTGTCTCACTTTCATTTTTAATAAATACCAGTCTACAATTTTATCTGTTCCAACATCTGCCTACATCAGCTCATTAAGGCCAGAGTGGGGAAGGTATGGCTATCCAGATGTTGTTGCACTGCAACTCCCATTAGTTCCAGTTAGTAGAACCAATAGTAAGGAATGTTTTCAGTTGCAGCCCAAACACACACACACCCATTCAGTAGGACATGAGTACCCACCATTTCATTGTAAGTTGGATTGCAGGTTTTTCGAGCGACTTTGGTCTTCCTCTTGGTGGTTTTCTGAGGATCAGGCAGAAGGTAGATCTTAACATAAGGGTCAGGGTCACTACCATCCTGAATAGGCTGCTAGAAAAAGAAAGAGAAGGGGGGTAGTAAATTAGAGCTGTCAGTTGTTTGTGCCACAGAAATCTGAAAAGATTGGTTGGCAGCAACCACTGAGACAGCCACAGCAAAACACCTACCAGTCCTCGAATGTGCATCACCATGATAAAGAGCTTATTGTTCTTGTAGGAGATGGATAGCTTCACCTCCCCTCCCACTTTTCCAATAGGTTGGGCCCACGTTGCATCTAGGAAAGAAAAGCAAATCAGCACTACTGTCAAGGCAGAATCATTGTTCAGAGAAGCTGTAACACCCAGAATAAAGAGACTTCTGTATCTTTCCATAAAAGTTATGTCATACTTTAGAAACATGATCCTTTGTTTTTAATTTAAATTATAGCCATACATATGCACATTAATAGCAATGCATATAATGGTTCCTGTCATATTTTACCCTTATTTGAACCAACATACCAACTTTCCTTTTATTGCTTCACATAGAAGCAATCTTGAAACTATGTCAGTTCCTGACAAATATAACTTCAGGAAGCAGCAGCAGATTCTCTTCTGTAACCAGCACTTTCACCTTCTTTGCCAAACTGAAGAGTAGTATTCAACTCAAGGTGAGCTTATCCTTCCCACCCTCTTCAGTACTGGCCACTGTGCAAGAGCAGAATGCTTTAGAAGTCAGATCCTACTGCTTGTATTTTACAGATTTACCTGCAGGCTTTGGGGCTGGGTTGGTGCCTGCAGAAACTTCATCCCGTGGAAGGAGGTGGAAAAATGTATACACCAGATCACACTACAAGGGAAAGCAGAACATTAGGCCTCAAGTTTATTATGTCAATAGCAAAGTACTGCTAATCTGCATTCAAACATGATTAAGGGAGCCTGGTTGGAGATCTTGCCTCAGCTAGTACTGCATATGCTATACACTCAGAATAACTGAAAGTCACCACCTTAAGAGGGCTCTTTGCTTAAAGGCAGCCTAAAAAAGAATTCTGAATTGAAAAATAAAAATAAATAACTATCAGCATAAACTAATTTATTTTTGAGCCCTCTACCATTAAGTTCCTTAGTACTTAGAATGGTTGTGCGCCTCAGTTACAAGCTAGCATAAATGTTAGAGCTGTTAATCCCTTTATGTGGATAAGAGAACTAGACTATATAACAGGCTATCCAGTTTGCCTACCCTACTTCCTAGCAGAGCTTAGGATACATCCTTGATAGCACCGCCTTCAGCTCCATCCCCAATTCTATAGCCAGCCATCAAGTCCTCCTCACTTCCATGTGCTGAACACTCTCCAGCAGTGATTTAAGGAAACACCTATATTTGCCACTTGGTCAAGTAAGGAGAAGGTTGTTTCTATTTTCTGTAAGTATTAACAATGCCTGCAAGATCAGAATGGCAAAAGGATTCATAGAAGAATCCCAGTAGCACAGTGGGCATAAGATTTGCAGTACAGTTTAGATGAAACTAGTATGCATGGCAATCTGAGCCTTCAAATGACCCTTATTCATACTGATGTTACTCCCTTCTTTTTGCATTGACTTGTTTCTCACAAAAGAACAAACCATGGGTTGAATTGTGAATTATTACATGCAAATCCAGCTATGTGTTAACCATTTGCTGTTAACCACGAACAACCCACAAAGAGAACCCATGGTTTGTCTTTGGTTGTGAAATGTTGTAGGTTGTTCATGTTTAAACTATGGGCTGTCATAGCATGCAAATCCATTGTGTACAAATAGCATCATGGGTTGTTCATGGGTTGCTTCATCGGACTACCGAGACAGCAGAAAAGTGCACTTTAAAAAATCTAGCTTCTTTATATGCCAGTATGGCAGTGACACAAAGGCAGTTTGGATGCAGGGAGGGAGCAGGTGGGGGGGCACAATCCAGAACCTTTAAAAAACAAGTTTTGTTTGATCTCCTTACAAACCCTGGCTAGAGCAACAAGCCATGGTTTAAATAAATAAATTAGGACTTAAGTGTTACATGTAAACCAGAATATTACCTCAGCCACCTCCGGGGTTGCATGAATCAGATGCCAAATGTAACCATTTAGTTCTTCTTTCCTCCTCTCAGCCACTGCCTCTCCTCGTGACCGTCCAATCACAAACCTGCTAGGGAAACTAGAAAATTGCATGGGGTGAGGCGGAATAGGGAAGAGTTCTTTTTAAGCTTTGATCTCAGCCGCAAAGAAAAGGAAATTCTCAATAGAAGCAGCAGAATTCCTCAAAATGCTTGCTTCTTGCCCTGACAGTACAAACAAATTAATGGTAAAATTGTATCATATTGTTCCAGAGAGGAAGCTTGCAGTTAACTTAGTAATATGAGAAACGCACACAGAGAAATACAATTAATACACACAGTTAATCATGAGATTCACACACACAGTTCTAAGTAGAACAAGCCTCTTCGAAGGGCAGTTTCCCCTATTATACACACAATTCCTAAAAGAAGGCAGTTATCTGTGAAAGCAAAAATGGCATCCATGAAACAAGTGTTCTGATATACCATCGTTGGTCCAACAACACCTGGAGTTTAAACATACACCTAAACCAGTTTCCTAAGCTTGCATCCTGAATGTGTGCACAGCACAGCATCAATGGAAGCAGGGTTTGTAAACCAAATGATGCTAACCTGGGGAGATGCAAGGAGGGGAAGATGAGGCGCAGCTTGTTGTGCAGCTCTTGGAACTCTTCAAAGGTTCGCTGGATATATGTGACCTCAGAGGGAGCCTCTCGTACCACCTTCACGATATATATCTGCAACGTAGGGAGACAGGTTCTTTTGAGAGTTCAGCTTCACCTTCTGAGATGTTGCTCCATGAGTGGTATAGATTGCTTTTTGCTTTAAACCTCTCTTCCAAGACAGTCTCACATGGGCTCCCCTAATGCTGCCTCTACCCCACTGCTGACCCGTTGTACCAAAATGGCCACTGAAGGGACTCACGTAGCCCTTGCTGGGATTGAAGACTTTTTCATGGCGGCAGAGGAAAACATCAAGGATTCGGCTGGACATCTTGAGGGTATACACACGAGGAGCAAAGGAAAGCGTTGGCCGGGAGTCAGAGGCTGTGAATTTCATCTGTGCCAAGTTGTGAATGAAGAAGTTAAGCTTTGTGGCTACACTTCCCAAGCTGGACTCTATCAACCTGCAGCAAGGAATGAAACTTCACAGTAGTACCACTGCCATGGAACTGACAGCTTTATCCCAAGATATGCAGTGGACATGATGGACCTCTCACAGAAGACCCTGAGGACCCATACTTCTCTGCAGAGGTACCTTTGGGAAACTGAGATTGTGGAATCCTTCCCATTTTGCCCTCCCAGCTAGTAAGCTTCAGAAAAGTATCCCCTCACCTGGTGAAATAAGTGGTGGCATCTGCCTCTGAGTCCTGTGGTCTCAGTGCATCATAGACGTACTTTAGGTCTTCAAGGTCAGAAAGCTCAGGGATCCCACAGGACAGCATCTGGGCACCAAAGAGCACAGCAGTTAGTGCCAGAAGCCAAAGAAGTGCAACGGCCCTAAACTTGACCTGTGAGCATTCCATGATTCTAGGAAGTGCCACATGTAATCTGATTTCTCCAGCTTTTCTTTAAAAACGAGCGGCGGCATGTTCCTAATCCCTGTGGTCAGGGTACATGTGCACAAACAATGCCTGCTGAAGTCTCAGGAACAAGGAAGGAGGCAAGGCAATAGTTGGGGATGGGGAGCCATCATCCTTTTGAGTCTTAGTCCCATAGTTGGAGGGAAGCAGGAGGAGAGGACGATTGGGTGATGTGGGGGATGGGGGAGAGAAATGCACCTGCCTTATTAATCCTTGTACCTGAACCTATATCTCTTGGTGCAATATAGCATGACAAAATTGTGAATATGTGGCAGCAAGGATGGTAGAGAGTCACCTTCCAGGAACTCTGATGTCCTATGTTGTGTTTGGGCATTGCATGTAGTGCAGGATGTATGTTTGTAAGGTGGCCAGATTTAACCAAAATGATGGTGAACTTGCTGCAATGATAGTTACTGTTCTATACACATTAAACAGCGGGGGGGGAGCCTGTTGTGTTGGATTTTCAAGTTGGGGAACCAAGTTGGGGAAGCCCGCACTAGGCCAAAACCACAAAATCAGCTGCAAAGATCAGTTGGCGATCCCATGGTCAACAATTCTGCTGTACTGCCTGGACAGATGCAGCACTACTAGAATGCAACGGAGAGGTGTGGGATAGGTATCTCACCAGGCCCAGAAGATTGAGGAAGAGGTGGGTGTGCTTGCGAATCAGGTTGTAAGCCTGGCAACAGAGGTCCACAAAGTCATGGAAGCGACTGGAGGGCTTGTCGCCGCCATTGATGACATAAGCCATGTCCGATGTGAAGACAAAAGGAGCCCGGTCCCTGTATGGAAGATTTGTGCATGCATCATAATGTGGCTGATCCCAGGAACAAAAGAAAGCTATGCTTTCGTTCTCAAACACAACTCAATGCACTCATATGGCATTAGTCCTATTAAACCCACAAATAGCCTGCATTATTCTGAAGGACTTTGAAACATTCCTACTCTTGAAACAAAGTCGCATGCATGTGTGAACTGCATAGCAATAGCAGGAAAAATCCTGAAACATTCCACAGAAATATCTGTGTTTTACATTCCATGAAACAAGGCCTTTGCAGTGTTGTGTTTGGCAAACCGGATGGACTAGAAAGATGCTGTGCTAACAACATTTTGAAACACACTTTACCTCCAGCTTAGAAAACACAGTGATTGGGTTCACATGACATGGAAACATAAGGACAGAGCAATGGAAGTGGGGGTTTTGGACTGGGACCTCAGTAGCTCTAAGTCCCAGTCAAAAACCACTCACTGCTCTGTCAACTCCCCCTTTTTAACAGGACCCAATTTTTTGTCACCTGTCTGTCAAAGCTCCTTTTCCCAACAAGAAGGCTTGTGAGAGATGCGCTTTTGCACTTTCTCAAGCACCTAGAGGCAAAATGTAGACTACCTGGCAGGAAAATGAAGATGAGGCTCCTACTACAAAAAGGGTGCAAACCACGGCACCTTCTTTTCATGAGCAAACATCACTCACACCATTGGTTTCTCTCAACAGCTCATCTTTTAACAGCTACCCAGAGAAACCAATGTGGGAAGGAAAACAATTCAGAGCTTCTTCTAGGCAAAGTTCAGGACTGATACCTGCTCTACTTGGCAGAAGGCACACCCTCAACATTGCCCCAGCTAAGGCTACTGGTCCTCACACTGGTGCAACTGTGAAGGTTTACAGAGCACAAGGATGATTCAATTTTAAAAAATAGCAATCATTTTTCCACATTTTTAAAGGTTCTGAGAGCCACGGACAGCCTCTCCAAGATGCCACTTGAGCACTTTGAAGGAGTTTTCTGTGGCTGTCAAAATGTAACCTGAGAAAGCTGGTTGTTGACCCTGTTTCCACAAACTCAGGAGTGGGAGGAAGTAAGGGGTGGGGGGAGGACAGGACGATAATGTGAAGCTCCACGGGTTTCAGTGATGGGAGAGGAACATGTACATCCCAGAGAGTCCAATTATGCCTTTGGAAAACTACATGAGCTTACATTTACCCCTGGCAGTGTTCCTGCCAATTTGCATTGAAATGGAATGGCATTTTGAGTTGTTTTTGCTCATGGGCTGCTTTTCCTAGGCAATTTTCAAGGCACTCATCTTATAAACTTCCCTCTGGTTTGAAATGGAACATGCAGCTGCATCTCTCCTGCTTGTAACCACTGCCTTGCAAAGTATCATTAAATCTGCCAGCCTAGGGCAAAATTCCTTTCAAATTTCAAGAGACTGGACAAAATGGGACCATTTGGAGTTGGAATGTCTGGTCAGTTTCATCGCTTTCACAGTTAATTCTCTTTGAGCTCTACACAGTGTTCTAGGAATGTGTGCATTTGTAATAAAAGGCAATAAGCTCTGCTCAGTTTCAGAGATAATTCTATTTGCAAATACTATGTGAAACAAACATGAGAAACTAAAATCAGGGTGCCTAAATTATATCCTCCCCATCATTTATTTTCACATTTTGTTCCGAAATTAATGCATGCCCCAGGCACCAAAAATTCAGTTAGCCAAACTAGTCCAGTGAAAGCAGGGGTCCTCACCATGGTGCCTCTTGCAAGACCCATACGGACACCTACAATGATGCCCACAAAGTGATCTCCAAACCTCTTAATTTCCCCCATTTTTAATATATGTACACAAATTTGTATGAAATGCATTCAGCTTTCTAGCAATTATTCTTCGGCTTCAACAAAAGCAGACCAAATATCCAAATAACTATCCATTTGAAATTGGCAGCTGTATGCAGTCCATTCATATATTGAAGGTTTGTAAGGTTGCATTACAAGTAATGAGAGTTTATTCTTCTCATGTTGTAATTTCAGTCTTTTAGCTGTCAAAAAGGCACAGAGAAACCACTTCCCCTTTCATTTTTAAATTTGTATGAAGCAGGGAAATAATTTAAAAGAGTGTGCGTAAGTCCACTAAAGGCTGTTTCAGTACAAAATTATCTGTTTAATAACCTCCTCCAAAGAAAAGCAGCCATCGGGCATTGACAAAACTTGTTGTCAGTAACTAGCTGAATTAGATAATATTTTATTAAAAAGACATTATGATATCGCGTGGAGATACACAAAAAATGCGTCTGTAGAAAGATGCCGTCCACAATTCACAGATGTGACACACAGATGCCGAAGTGGAAAGGTGCATACTTGGCATTTTGCGGTGGTCCCCACAGCAATTTCTCAAATTCCCAAATGTGCTCGAAGGTCCAAAATTAGTGAGGACCCCTGGTTCAGAGTGCTCACCTCTTGATGTTGCCAAACATTTGGGCATGGCCCAGAAACCTGCCAAAATCAATGTGGAACATGTGTCCTGTGGTCTTCAGCATAATGTTGTCATTGTGCCGGTCACAGATTCCCAGCACATAAGTGGCTACACAGCAGCCAGCACATGAGTAGATGAAGTTCTCTACTGCCTGGGAAAAGAAGACCTATGTTAGAAAAGTAAAGTGTCGAGTGAGGAAGCAAGGAGACCAGGCAACCTGTTCCACAAGAGAAAAATGAAAAGGCTTCCGCAAAGTGTGGAGAAATATTTGATGAATGTGTATGTGTGTGCGTGTCAAGAATGAGAGAGAGAGAGAATACATATATATCCCATATATATCCCACCTTGTTTTCTGGAACAAATTGGAGCCCTGGCTTGGCAGAAGGGTGTCTAAAACTACCTTGTAACGATCTATGATCTCCCCTTATAACATAACTTTCTCCTTTATGAAATTTCCTGTGAATTAAATGCCCATGCCAAGCACTTTCTCTGACTGAACTTTGACCTTATAGGTAGGCTTTTTCAGTAACACAGAAGAGCTTCCTCAGTCTCCTGTAAGAGGAAACTGCTTTTTCATGCACTCTTCTGAAGCTGAAAGGCTCCATTGCTGCTGATTCATAGAGTTGTTCTGGGCTTGTTAATTTTGTGTCATTTTAGAAAATTGACTTGAACTTTTACCATTCTTTCTGCATAGCTAAGATGTTAAAGTATGTAAGTCTTCCCTATCTAACATTTGCTATGGAAACATATACAAATTTGGAACTGCAAGTATGGCACATATACAAGTCCAGATTAAGTTTCTGCCCTACTTTTGCAATTAGTTAAATTGCAAGATTCCAAATACAACATGTCAAGTTTAACATTAGTGCAATCTTTGAACATAGCACTGAGAGCTCATTCTCTGGTAAAGGATGTTATGCTCTCTCTTCACCAGATTTACCTTCTCATATTCATCCTCCTTGGGATTGTGCTTCTGTAACCAGTCTGCAAGGGGACGATCCTTGAAGGAGCCTGTCACACCATGCTCTACCTGGATCTTTCTCAAGGTTTCTGCATTGGGGATCATCTCCACCATCCCTGTAACACAGCAAATATTTATAAAGATTGCCAAGAAAGACAACAGTCCCCACAGGCAATGGACTAAGAAACAACCCAACCTGGGCTGGGATTTTTACCACAGGGGCTTTGAAATATCATCTTCCTCTTATTTGTGCAGCCTATGTCAGAAAAGTGACCACCTTGTTTGGCGAAGAACAAAACCATGTCATTGAACAACTCTTAAGTTCCATGCTGAAGTACCTACCAATGAGCCTTCCATGTTCTAGAATTCAAGGGATACTTCTGTAGCCTCAGAAGGGCAACATACCACATAAGCAATGCATCTACCGCTGAAACAAGTGGCTGCCCAGAAAAAATAGTGTATACATATTTTTTTAACCAGAGGATCCTGCAATTATTGCTTACATCAGAAGTGTGAAACCTCAGGACCATGAGCTAAATCCTGCCCTCTGAGGTTCCCTAGATGAATACAACCCTTTCTCCATTTCCACAATCTCTCAAGTGCTATTCGGTAGTTTCCGGGTTTTTGCATGTTTTTCTTCTCTTTTCTTTGTAATGCCTCAGTACCTCTCCTGGGTCTTAGTTACTGGCTGTTACAGCTTTAAGATGAAATATGCAGGGAAGGGGGGGTGCACTGGGCCTATTCCTTTTGCCTTTGGCTTGCACATTATTGGAATGTGCCCCCACCAAGCTTTTATTAAATTAAATGTGGCCCTCAGGCTGAGACACCTGATGTACATAGCTAGTTTGTCCTCACAAATAAATGGTAGGTAGCTTATCAGTACCATAATGGATAAGACTAGAACCTGCAGGTTTAAAAGTTAATAGTTCTGATTACCAGAGAAAAACCGGCCATCTTGTTAGGTGTTGTAGGGATTTGAATTGGAAAACTAATCCCTACTCTTTGTTCTGGCTCAGCAAGGCCATTGTTATGCTCTTAGCTTATACCCAGAGAGGTGGTAGTTTATAGCTCCCTTTTTATCTTGTTCTCAGTCTTGAAATCAGTGATATGTCACAGATTCTGCTAGCCTGAAAACCCTGTAGCTGCAGTTCAGCAACAGTAACCAACAAGAACGGAAAATGTGTCCTACGTGGATCCAAACTTACCCCTGCCACGGCCGGTGGAAAAACAACGGAATATGACCATGCGCATGTCCAAACCTTCTTGCACCCAGATCTTGTTCATGATGCGAATCATCTGCAAAGTTAGCATGTCCTGCCGGAGATCATCTCCACACTGTGGGGCATTAAAAGAACACTGGGTATGGCTGGCCATTTCCAGGGCTTTGTGACACTTTGTAACACTTGAAGCCACAAAATATATTTCCTTATTCAAGTGCATCCAGCTGTACATAGAACACCCCTTCATTTTCAGATAGGACACATGCATCAGCTTATCCACAAAATCATAGACACTAAGGGTCAAGCTATGCATTCTGTGACATATAGCTATATGGTGGCAGCACATATTCGCCACTACCACCTCTGGAATTAGCCTCCCCTCAGGTGAAGTAAGTCAAGCATCTACTATCAGCCTTCCCACCCCAGCCATGATTACAGCAAATCCTATTGCCCCAACTCGCCATGGCAATTAGCAGTGAGGACGAAATCTTCACGTAATGGTGGCATCTACTGGGATCACAGCTGAGGAAAGAAGGCATGTGCACAGCATCCCCAGAAGGGAAGGAGAAATGGCACTTCAGAGCTAGTAGAGAGTGGGAGTACTCCCTTCCTGCTGCACCAGGCCCTGAAAAAGTATAATATGGCAGGCAGAAAGGTCTATAGTTTCTCTTTCTCCACTGCAAACACCCACATACTCCCTTTCAAACCTAGAAAGAAAAGAAGACAGAGGGACTGGGGAGGAAGGCTTGCAATAAGGAGGCTAGACAGGAATTCCTGGAGTCTGTGAATGCTTTTTCTCCCATGGGTCCTCAGATTTTCCCTCAGACCTGCTTGCCACAGACTGAAAGGTCTAACCATGGTCCTTGATCTCACAGTTTTAGAAAGAGCAAGAGCAAGTCACAGGACACAGCTCGGTCACCTGCAGCCTGCACACACCAGATCAGGCAATGCTGGGTTTTGTTAGGAGGCATCTGTGCAGAATGAAGGAAAGTCCTGGCTACAATCAGAGAAGAAACCCTGGGACTCACCTTAAAGATGACACGGATATTCTCTCCAAGAGGGTCCACATTCTGGAAGGAGAGCTTCAGAGGGACAGCATTGGAGTTGAAATAGGAGCAATCCTGCAGCCAAGGGAAGAGGAGACAGGGAGTGGGGGCATGATTAGAATGGGGATGCTGGCAGCTGTGGTACCACAGATCTGGAGGATACCTTCCACAAAGGTACCACCACCTCTGAGGCAGAAGAGCTTTTCTGCCATTAATTCTATGAGGACAGGGTATTGCAGAGGTGAACAGAACTTAGAAAAAAAAATCAGGATTATCTATTTTACTCCTTTTGAACAGTATGGGAAGATTGTGGAAAATGAATACCTGGCCTTGGATTAAGACCAAACATATGTGGGGCTGGTACAGTATGGACCTGAAGGGTGAGGTTTAACGCAAGATACAAGTCAGATGATATTGCACTAGCCAAAAATCAAAATCGAAAGGGGATGTGATAAGAACATTAAAGTTACAGCACAGAATGGCCAATGCTTCTCATCCTGAGGAACTGACCTGTTCTGTAGTAGCTTGTTATGCAACAGAGAGGAAACAGCTACCTCCAAATCCTGGCTATGCAAACTGTGTTGCTATGCTTGTCAACTTCAGTACTCAGGAAGCTGTCAGATCTTTGGTCCACCTAGCTCAGTGTCATCCACTGATTGTTGGGTTCTCCCCTGAGTTTCAGGCAGAGGTCTCTCAGCCCTTCCTGGATACGCCAGAGATGGAATGTGGAACCCTTGGCATGCGAAGTATCTGCTCTGCCATTGAGCTATGACCCTGCCTGGGAGCACAGGACGCTCTCCTGCATGACCCCTAAGGTACAGAAGGGAAATTATCCCACATTTCCATAGTGCAGCCACAATAGTGTTTCTGGCAGTCAGAACCATACCCTGGGCACAATCCCCTTCACGAGCAGGCTGGGACTTAGTGGTAGGCGGCAGGAGCCACTGACGCTGAAGAACTGCTTTACATCTTCCAGCCCCTCACGAAGGATGGCCTGAAGAAACAACAGCACAGAAGGCATCGAACACAGAATTCCCCGTCGTTCCCCTGCAGTCTACCTCTTCACCCCTTTCCACAGCCAACCCAACATTAGTCCTGGCATCACCAAAAGTCATATCTCAGTAGGTCATCAGTTCTTGCTATTAGGTTTGGAAAGCACCACCTATATGCTATGGTAGTCTGCTCCCCACCAGGTTTTGTACGAAGAAGCACCTCAATTCTGGTTTTAGTTACACAGTTAAAACATTTATGACTGCAATGAAGTTGAGTTGATGGCATACTAATACTATAAATACTATCAAAATTATCAAGATGATGATGATTAATCTATAGTTTGTTTTGCAGGAGGAAAGGCCTCACAAGGTGGATTATAGATTACTTTAAAATAACTGTGACCCCAAAACACTAAAAAAATGCATCATTAAAACCATGGTAAGTTTTAACAAATAAAATTGCCCCAGGAGATAAATTCTTAAGTTAAAAGCACTGAACGCTGGTATCCTTTGAACTGCCTGACAAGCCCGTTTTAACCAGGGCACATGGTTCCGTGTTTAATTATTCCTTTGCCAGCACACCCTCCTCCAGGAATAGTGGAAGACAGAAGTTCACAAACACTGGTACCTGTCTAGATGATGGAGCAGCCTCACGGACCTGCTGAGCCAACTTAGCCAGGGTGTTAACAAGCCAGCACTGGCGGTCAAACTCTTCTCGCAAGCCCTTCCCACAGCAGCACAGCAGAGCTGCCAGCAGATACTGGTAACGGATGCTGAACTGGGAATCCTTAAGGCCATCCTTCAGCAACCTAGGGCAATGGATACATTTTCAGGAGAAATACTGGGATGTGTGGGGAACATATTCATGTCCCAACCTGGTCAGTAAGACCACACATATCAGTTGCTGTTCCCAAAACAAGGGGACATCTACACATTTTGTAGAGAGATCAAAATAAGCAAAGGGATATTTGTGTGCTGAAGCACAAACAGGGGGCTCAGCAGGTCAAATATTCAGACTAGTCATGTTTTCAGCCTCCTTAAACTATTAAGTTTTCAAATACTTGTCATGATGAAGCTTGTTCTTTTTTTAATTAAAAAAGGGAGAGATTTTCAGTAACCTAATCACGTTTCTGGATTCTAGATAAACAGAATTCCATGCAAAGAGGAACAGAGGAGCCCCTGTTTATAATCCATGTGGGGAAAAAGCTTAACAAAGCAATCTTTTATCAAAAGGGCAGATGATCTTCTAGAGAATGAAAGCTAAATGTTCTGGCCTTTGGGAGAAAAATAGCTTGCAACTTCCTCTGGTCTTCGCTAGAGAGCAAAATTCAAGTTGGGTGATCGTATCTCCTTCATTTATTTCTTTCATTTTTTTTAAAAGTAACTATCCCTCTATGTCTAATCCTCTCCATATATCAACAGCACATCTGCCAACGTTACCAGAAGAAATAGTGGGTAATCCTCAGGTCACAGATGGCTCTCTTCATAAGAAACCGCACTAGAGGGCTGTCGAGGTAGCATTCATATTTGAGGGCCTGTAAGAAGGGAACAGATTGGTTTCCATTTAAACAGACAGCTCACTCAGACAGACAGCCATTTTCTTATGTGGTCAGCACACAGGAGCTCCACAAGAGGAGACACAAAGACAAGAGGAGGAAGGCCAGGGCGACTTATTTTATAATGTTAATGTGTTTTATATTTTTAGTGTTTTATATTTTTAACTGATGTTTTGTAAGCCACCCCGAGGCTTCGGCGAATGGGGTGGCATAGAAATTTTTAAATAAATAAATAAATAAATAAATAGATGCCAGTTTTCCCCACAAACATCTGGACAAGTGAAGAACACATGCTCCAAGTAGTCTTACACCATGATGTGAGTCCGCTTGGGTTCTTTGGTTATACCAGCCCACATATTCTTGGGGCTTACTTATTTTTTACATATTATTTCCTGGCCTGCCTGCAATGAGACTAGAATGGTAATATGAGGAGTTCTCCCACTATAACCCCATAAAATCCCTGTCAAGTAGGTTAGGCTGCAAGAATAGTGGATTATCTCCAGCTGCTACTGAAGCTATGAGCTTCACATCTCAGCCGGGATGTGAACCCAGGCCCAAGCCCAACGTGCTATCTGCTGCATGACACTGCCCTCAGAATAATTACTTTGCATTGCTGTCATGCGCTTCAAGTACTGTTCAAAAGACTCCCTTCTCCACCATAGAGAAGCTGGCAGTGGCTGTTTCCTGATCTTTCTTTTGCCAAAATCCACAAAGGACTCCTTCCTATACTAGCTCTGTTTAGCAGCAACAGAAAAGGAATGTCCCCCACAATTTTCTCCTCTCATTTCTCGTTTCCTGCCTTGGCAAGTGTGAATCGCCGCCACTTGCATACAGAAGCCTGACAGGAGGCAATTCTTGCTAGCTCCTGAATGGTGGCATCCTGTCAGTCAGTTCCACCCCAACCAGACACGGCAAAGACCAATGAGTTTTTACAGAATTCTGCAGTCTTCAACTTGACACCCAAGAAGAAGCATATCAGTTCACATGCAACTTGGAACCTAGCTTGATCGTTATTTAGTTTAGGCTATGCAAACCTACATTGGCTTATTCTAACTTGTACTCTGTTTCTTTCTCTCTGAGACCCTCCCCTGGAAGCACTGCTAGAAATGTAAACATTTGGGGCCCAATCTTACATTGCCATCAATGGACGTTTGTTTTTTAAATCTTAATTGTCAAATGAAGGAGGGGATTGAGTGGCATGCACAACGGACGGAACTATTAACGCTTCCTTGCCCAGCTGTGTTCCCCCTGGCTTGGCTACTCAGCTACTGTTGGCTACATGGCTACTCAGGAAAAAATCTCCCACTAGCCCCACTATTAAGTTTTTAATTGCCATGCAGGAGAGTGGGGGACACTGCAGCATGTTGGGAGAGGAATTAATCTTTCTTTCCCCAGCTGCAATCTGCCTGACACTGGCTTCCAGCTAACTAGACTGGGGAACATAATCTTTCACTGACACCAATTGAACAGATCAAGGGGCCTGAGAAAGAGGTTTGGGCCCAGGCTTATCAACACTCCTGCTTTCCCCTGCTTAATGAAATCCACCCAGTTCATTCTCTGGGTCTTGGCTGTTTCCTAGAGCACCTGAAGGAGCCACTCCTGCCCATTTGCCTACTTATTTACATTACAATCCTGGGTCTAATGAAAAGGAAGGAAAAGGCCACTGAAACCTGTTCTGTGTCACCTGGGAAGGGTGTGTGTGCATGTATTTTAGCCAGCAACAGATCTTCATCACTGATTAAAAGTACAATTGCTGAGATACTCTACAGCTCAGGAGTATGAGTGCAGCAGGAGTGATGGCAGTATTCATGTAAGAGGTGTGCAACAAGAGGTTCACCTCACAAGGGTGTTGCCTGTACCATCACATTCCATCTCTCACTGAAGTGGAGCATGAAGGCCAAGCTTCTATGGAAAGTTAATTAAAGGAGAGGTTACTGTACTACATCTTCGATCAGGAGTGGGAGAAGCTACATTACTTTGCAGACAACCACTGCCCCTCTGCTGCCGAGATGAGTTATTGTAGGCTCTGCAGCTGCCAAAAGCAGTCCCTTCCTTGAAAACCTAATATGGGTCAGCAGTCTACATCTAAAGGCTTTCCCCTGCCCAGTCAAGCAAAGTAATGTGGAAAATTCATGTTATTGTTTGAGAAAGACAGAAAGTGAGAGTCAAAAGGCAGAGTGCCTTGAAGTAGAGATGACAGCCATCCTTTGTGAGGGTGCGGGGCCATTGGTCTAATATACACTTGCCCATACGCTAGAAAAAGGCCAACAGAAGTGCACACTGTGGGTGCATCCAGAGGGAGGGCTCCTGGCATTACCAGTCAATAGGTATTAAGTACCTATCTCCATCATATCTTCCTTACAGAGCAATCCTATGCATGTCTACTCAGCGATACAACACATTGACTTCAATAGTTCTTTTTCACGTGTGAGTATAGAATTGCAGCATTAAAAGAGATGGCTGGATGGATGCATATCCCAGAAAAAAAGATGAAAGAAAAGGTGGGAAAACATGGGAGGGTTACAAATGGAAAATGACAGGATACTTCCAAATAGAGGGTGTCCAGCATTTACCACCCAAAAGCATTTTGCAGCGATTCCATCTTTTCTTTGTTAGTGGTTTTTCCCCATTAACATAAGAAGATGGAAGAAACAGTAGGAAAGTGGGGGAGGGGGGTTACAAATTGAAGTGACAATGCCTCCACTCCTCATGAGATGAGGTGCGTGTAGTACAGTTGCATAATAAAAGCCTCATCTGAAATAAAAGCCTGGTAAAATTCTGTGCTTACAGCCTGACATGCTGCTTCTCCAGGCTGCCTTGAGATCTACCTTGGTTGCAGAAAATCTTGCACCAGAGCCTCAAGAAACCCTGATGTCTCCCTCAAGTGCAGTGTCAGCAGCTGTTCTTACATGGGCGTGTGTATAACTCATGCTTCTCTGAGGGTTTTGCACGTTCCTTATGACACAGAAAAAATTATCTCTGGCTCTCAAAGCTCTTGTCCCTAACAGCAAATTCTGCTGATTCATCCCTTGAGGCCAAGTCTGCAGAAGCCCTGTGTGATGCTGTCTGTCCTTGGTGTGATATAACATGACAAAGCAAAATTGATCCTGTTCTGTGTATGATAGCACAGATCAGCAGGGAGGCAATTCTAGGGAGAGAATGCTGAAAAAATGCTGAACGCCTTGCCCCTGCTTCTGGGGCTCAGCTGATTAGGAAAAGCTGGGCAGTAGAGGGAAAACTGGGCTGTGCAGCCATTGAGGCCAAAGGGAGGTGCTGGTGGGTAGATGGGGAATATTTAGCTGAGCAGCCCTGCTTCCCCAACAGTCCCCAACTCAGTGCCCTCTATATGGTTTGGACTAGAACTCTCATTAGCCCCAGCTAGCATGGCCGGTGGAGGCCACCAGATTAGGGAAAGCTGCTACAATGTTGGGAGCTGTGGTCAAAAACATCTGAAGACACCAGACTGGGGAAGGCTGCTATAAGGAGTAAGAGGAGACACAATGACCCAACAGAGGTTTGTGACACTTGTGAAGTCACACACACCGCACAGGACCTGTAAGCCAAACTGAATGCACAGTGAGAATGGATGCCATTTTCTGAAAGTAAGTGCGCTTTGAATATGAGGGAAATGATATATCCTCATATGAGAGGCACAATCCTGAGAACATGTCGGGTGGTGCACCACCATGCAGGAGAAACAGATGCTTACTTCCCTGTTCACACAAGCTCATTCCCTGCAGCCTCTCCAGCTGCTTGAACTTTCTGAAAAGCCCCCTAAGGGACTTAAGCAGGACTCCTCCCATGGGGTTTTCTGGTGCAACTACCTGCTATGTGAAGTCGTTTAAAAGTCCTCTAACAAGAACAGCAAAACCAAAATAAATAAAATAAAAAGCTTTCAGGCATGCAGGCAGCTGGAGTTTCGCCACAGAAATACCTAAAACAGCAAAAAAGGCCAGCTAGCATAACAAGGCTGTGGACCATCTTGCAAGCAATGCACTGACTTACCTGTACCAGCTGGGGCAGATAATCCAGGAGCTCAGCATCGGATATGGAATCAATCCATTGCACAGCTGTCCTCCTCACCTCCTGATCTGGGAACCTACAGTCACAGACCAATATTTGAGTCCATGACAGATGCTTGCTTAAAGGAATGAATCCCAGTTCCATGTGGATAACCACCTTCAACAGTATAGTAGTACAGACAAAAATCATGCACTTTTCCCAGAAAATCACCAAATGTATAACCATTGTAGACTAATACATGTTGGTCGTTTTCATATATGGAGGTATGTGGTACAGCACACATGTGCAGCCAATTCAAAATGATGTTTCTATTTGAGCATGTTGAGAGACTTACATATATAAAAACTGTACACTTTTTCCTATAAGCATCAAATTTACGTCATTTTTCTAAATGGTGTTCATTTTCCAATAATGGGGCATGTATACTGCATAGGTAAGCTGACTGAGCATAATTCAACTCACAATGACTTGTATAACAATTGTATATTTTCCCATAAAAGCACAAATTTATAGCATTTGTGGACAGATACACAATGGGCTACATCTTGTTAATCCACAACTGGGGCTTTGGTGCAACTCCTACTCTTATTTCTATGTTTATTCTATTTTATTAATGGTGTTGTAAACCTTCCTGAGACATCTGTGAAGGGACAGTATCGAAAAGTTTTAAATAAATAAATAAAGGACTCTGGTGTTTATCTGGAAAACAGTGCATGATTGCTGAGAAACAATTAACTATGCAAGATCTCTGTAGCCCATAGCAGGGCATTCTCATTCTCACTACCTTAGGCAAGCTGATCCTAGGTAAGTTTACTCAGTCATGAATTCCACTGAACACACTGAATTCTACTCATAGGTCTGCAGCAACCTGAGGATGTGGACCTCACCAGTATAAAGGGTGGGGGGATAGAGATCAAGGCTGGAGATCTAAGAAGCCAAAGTGCAATGTCAAAAGAAGGATCAGGCCTTCACCTGCTTCCACACCTAGGAAAGGCATGGACAACACGTGACCTTCCAGAAGTTTTAGTCTACAACTCTCAGCGGCCATAATTGAGGAAGCCAGTAATGCAGGATGAGAGGCGCTCTAGGCCAAAACGTTCAACCACTCACCCTGGCAGAGAGATCAGCAACCTTCCAGGAAGAATACTTACGCAGCATGTAGAAGCCCAAGGGCATCCTGGTGGTTCATGTGTGTCCATTGTTTCAGTAGGGCATAGATGTCAGGCAAGCAGGCCCATTCCCAGCTTGGAGCACTAGCGAGCAGAAGAGGCAGCGAGCCTGGCTGAGAGTGGCAGTAATAGCGCTTCTCCCAAAGCCGCTTCCGGTCAGCATCTGTTAGCCTGAGACGAGAGGAAGCATAAGATCACACAAGCACACAAAGCTATTTGAGTTTTGTTGGCAAAGAGAAACTTCGCCTGCAGAGGTCATAAAAGCATCTTTGTAAACCTTCCAGGAGTTTACAGCTGGCCAAGAGTGCAGACAGGATGCTGTTGATTTAACCTAAGTAGTTTCCAGCATTTTAAAATAAATGTATGTGCATTCTTTGCATAAGGAAAAGGAAAAATGAGAAAGATTTTACCGCATAGTGTGTTTCTATAGCCAAATGGGTGTGTGTGTGTGTGTACAGACATACACATTAAAAGACAAGGAAGCCCACAGATCCAGGTCAGAAATTACCGCTCAGACACACTCCAAGACTTGTTCTCCTCCACTTCCCTTTTCCTTTCCTACTGTGTTTAGTAGATTGTAATCCTGTGAGTAGGGACTGCCATATCAGAAAATGTTAGGTAATTGCTTAAACAAACCATCAAATTAAACCACTTATTTTTATAATATATTACTGTTCAGGATATTGTCATCACAGAGAAAATGTTGCTCTGTGTAACCACCAGAGAGCAGCAAAGCCACTGGGGAAAAAACAGATGCACCACTTAATCCCTTATGAAAGGACACCATCCTGTTTCAATTATCGGTCCATCCATTTCTCTCTCTGAAGGCGATGGGATCAGGTGGTTAATGAGGGAACTTGAAGCAATTCCATCCCCTGTCTAATGGGATCAAAGGTTCTCCTTCCCAGAGAACAGCAGGAAGAAAGGGAGCAGAAGCTGGTGATAAAGAGCAGGAGCACTGGGGAAGTGGGCTGTCTCCTGTTAGGAGTAACGGCTTCATAACTGAAGGACCTTTGCTCTAACATCAAGCTCTGTCTGCATTTCCCCCCACCCCCTTCCCAACCACCATGCAGATGCTTCACCATGCATCTGATCAGGGCAGGGAAGGTTAAATTTTACAGAGGGCAGTTCTTTATTTTAAGGCACCCTTTATTAAGGCGGTGCCCGGTTTCACAATATAGATCCATAAGAAGGCAGAATCCTTGAAGTTAACCAAGGAAGTCTTGAAGCCCATCCACAGTTAACATCTGGACAACAGACTGAGCAGGAACACGGCTCACAAAATCACACTCTCCTCATGGTGAGGTGTACTATGTTTCTATTTAAATTGTAGTAATTATTTCACGATGTGCATCTAAACACACAAATAATTAACATGTGCATATTTTATGCAGATAGGTGCCCTCTTTTGTCCTTTTCTTGGCAATGCTTAAGTGGTCATCCTACAAGGTTCTAATCCCAAATATACAGGAGTAGCTATTCAGTAGTGAAGAAAAGACAGCCTCTTTTTTTGCTTGATGCATTCCAGCAATGAACCGTAGCACTGACAACCATTTCCCAGGGTTGCAGGCTGTCTCTAATCAAGCTCTTCTGATCTGCATTGGCAAAACAGTGAGAAAGGCAGAGAAGAGTTGGAGAGAGACCAGGGCTGGTTTTGTGAGAGGCTGCAGCTGAGCTCTGGGGCCATCAAGATCAGCCCTGCTCCATAGTTACTGGAATGGCAGGGAGGCTGGGGAGTAGGACCCTGGCAAAGCTCGACGGGAGGGGCAATTCCATAATAGGGCCAGCTCCGTTCCCACCACTTTCCTTTAGTCATCTGCAGGAAGTTCATTCACTCACACCAGAACAAAGAGGGTGGACTAAAAGGGTTGCCCACCCATGAGAACCTCACACCCCAGCAGTGACCCAGAGCAGACAGGAAAGGAAGCGGCACTGCCTCCTATACAATGGCAGGAAGGGCCAGCCGGCCTGCCAGCCACTCAACAGCAGCGAGCTGTCAGTGAGCAGAAAGTGGCAAAAGCAGCCCGACATTAGATCTGCTCAACCACAGGTCCAGGATCAGGAACCACCAGAAAATTAAGGGGATCACCTTTGGCACCTAGCATACAAGTCTCCTTTCTAAGGGCCCATTGCAGCTGTGAAGATCATCACAAGGAAGGAAGGAAGGACGGACGGACGAAAGGTCCTTCTTTAACATGCTTTAGGAGACAGGGGCTGCAGGTACTTCCTTCATTTAGGTCAGCCTTCCCCAACTCAGTGCACCCTCTAAATACGCTGCATCACAGCTTCCAGCACCCTTCAGCCATGCTGATCACCAGGCTGGCAAAGGCTGTTCTGGGCCCTATTGCTGAAATTGTCACTCTGTCTTCATTTATTTTTCACTGAGCATCCAGAAAATGCCAGTGATGGCCCTTCAGATTTTAATTTTTTAAAATCTTTCTCAGTTTGTTGCATATTTTTTTCAGACCTGATTTGTGAGATTTGGGGAAGAGATAATCAAATTATGGGACTTAGCAGATGTAATACAATTGCAGCACCAGCTTGTTTAGTGTTTACAGGCAAAATACTGCCGAGGTTTTGAAGGGCTCCTGTGCTTTTAATTCAACAGATCTTGGTTCAGGGAGGAAAGGCACTGCTGGATATAAATTAGCTGCTTATGTGGAAGCCTGTGCTTTAATTCCACTTCTAGCTAATTGCAGAAAAGAGGCATGCAGTAGAACCAAAGAGATCTAGTGTTAATGCTGTTAGAAGCACAACATTTTATCATGTAAGTACAGTCCTACTGCAGATCTTACTGGCACTTTTGCCATAAAATTGATTTTCTTCTTTCGTGGGGTTGGGGTGGGGGGAAGTACTTTAATTGCCAATGCACGTCAGAGAGATTATTCCAGAATGAGAATAATCCACAGAGAACAACACCCAATGGAGGCTTTCAATTTAAAACCAGAAGTACCAGACTGTGAAACCTCATTGCTTTCCTGACTCCTTTCCTAATAGAGGTAGGAACTTTTTTCAGCCTCCAGGCAACATTCCCTCGTGGACAATTTTTCAGGAGCTGCTTACAAGTGGTGGGTGGGGCCAAAGCATTCAAACATTCTGCCCCATTCTCTCTCTCTCTCTCTCTCTCTCTCTCTCTCTCTCTCTCACACACACACACACTTCAGGATTGTGTTTCCTTGCTGGATGTTAAGAAAATGTGCTCTTTTTCTCAGCACCTACTTCAGCAATGCAACAGGCTGCTGATGGAGGAAGGTGGATCCTTCCTCAGCAGTCGGTTAGTGGGACCCTGCAGCCATGCACTCCCCTCACTGCTACGCAGCTAAAACCCCTTCTCCTTGCAATCTCCTCTTCCTCTCCTCCCACTTGCTGCTTTGCTGATCAGCAGAAACAGCTGAGCAGCGGGGGAAATGGGGTTGTGGAGGCAGGGGACACTGTGGAGAGAGAGTGGTGGGCCACTGGTTCCTCCTTCCGCCTCTCTGATATATGTGAAAGGCCCAGAAGGCTCCTACCTCTATGAAAAGCAATTCTGGCGCCATGGTTAGCTTGTAGGAGTAAGGCTGAGGAGTCCCAGGTTCAACTCTGCACTCTGCCATGAAGCTCACTGGGTCTTTGGACCAGGCTTCATCTCTTGGCCTACCCTGCCTTTCAGTACAGCCCTGTCTCCAGGTTTTCTGCCCCGCAGGCAAGCTGCCCTTGGTAGCCACCCTGAGCTTACCAGTCTGCGTCCAGGTTGCCTGCCCCTCTGGGCAGCAGCATGGCGCAAAGCTCTCCTTTAACATTAACCATAACATGGCCAATTAAGTTCTGCCAATACTGCATAACAGTCTCCAGCCCTGCAAGCTATTTCCCAATAAACTCGATGGATAACACAAGGTGCAGAGGTGTTCTGTGCTGATGAGAATGGCTTTATCACTGCCACTAGAGGTAGCAGTAATAAAGGCTGCAGACACGGCCTGTACCAATCAATCCCTCTGCCAGGAGGCAAACAAACTCTTCATATCAGCCCATCTCAGACACTTTGGGGGTTTTCTCTACTAAGCTCCAAGATCTGCGCTTGACTAGAATGCACAGACACATACAAACTTTCTCATGCTAAAAATATCTTTTTAGACAGGGTGATGAACCAGAAACAGCTCCCACTTCTGCTTTCAGATGCTCAGTGCAGTCCTATCAGAAGGGGTAGTGCAGTCCTTGGGGGCCCCTGTGGGGAGGAGGTGGTAAACTAAGAGCTGAGGCACATGCCATCCTCTCACCAATAGAATGATTCCTTCTGCATCACCTCCTTCAGCTTCTGCTGGTCTCCCTCAAAGAGACTGCTGAAGTTGTATGTGGGACTGAACTCTGCTGCTGGCGGGCTGGTAAACTTGACTTCAAATGCTGAGCTAGGGAAGTCAATCTGCAAGAGAAAGGGAGACAAGAATAGCCTTTTACTTCTGGCTCTGTTATTTAAAAAAAAACTTTCAGTGTTTTTAATATTCAATATTGTATGCCAATACTTTTATTGTTGTAGCTTTAGTTAGCATTAGGGATTTCATTTATTGGTTATTTTGCTGTGGTTTGATTTTATGATTAAGAATGGCACCACTTGGGTAGCATACAATTCTAATAAATCATAAATACATTTTCAACACAGACCTACCGCCATCCCAGAAAAGCAGACTGGTACTGGGAATATCTTATCCCATATCACTTCATGTAACCAATTGCAAAAAGCTTGTTCTAGCTGCACCTGAGCAATCTAGTATGAACCTGTCCCGGTTTACCCAAGCATCATAGCACTGTTCATGGGACTGAGCCCATACAGACAGTACACAGGGCATGGCACATTGGGTAGCTTTGCACATCATGGTAAGTCACCCTGGCAATAAGCCACATGGTGGGTTGGCTGTTGCCTCAACAACCCACAGTGCACTGGCCAGATGGTCAGCCTCACCATGAGCTGACCCTCCTCCCTCCTTCTCATTGCAGGGAACCTCACAAAAGGGCAGTCCTGCCTGCCCTCCCTACTGCAATAAGAGGCTGTTTTCTGCTCATAACAGCATTTTAAAAAAAAGTATTTAGCAGCTTCATTCTTTTTGGAGATCACTTTTTGCTATCTGAGTTGACTGGCTAGTGAAAATTTCTTCAAAGTGCCCAAAGGGTACACTGGAGAACTTGTCACTGGTTCATCACCCATTTTAAATAGATATTTTAGCATTAGAAATGTGTGCATTTTTTCCTGTATATTATTTAGTTAGGTCTGAAATGGCAAGCTTCAGCTGGGTAATGGCCCAGGGGATGGGCTGTCTGCTGTCAAATTGCAGCAGGTACTTGCCATGGGCATTGACCCACTGAACCTGTAGGTATATTTTTCACTTTGCTTCCATTGACAGCTGTCAAATTTGTGCTGTCAAAAGAAATGAAAGCTGTGAATGATCTTTATTCAGGAAATGGGGTGGCCAGTAGATCATCCCCTTTGCAGCGAGTCTCTAGTGGGTTCTTTTGGACTGACTCCTGCCAGGATCTTCACTTTACTACACCTTCCTGAGACTACAGGTGCTTGGAAAGAAGTAAGGTATGAGGCACTCCTATGGGAAACTGAAATTTTGATAACTATTTGTGAAAACTCTGATTCCTGTCAAAGGGGATTTATTTTCCAATTTTGTACTGCTTTGCGCAAGTAAAAAAGTAAAGATGTTTACACACAATCAGTGTGCAAAATAATAATTGAAATGTTTTCCAGCTACTGATAACTCCTCTATCAGTACTCAGACGCTTTGAAGAGACTGTCAGTGGCAGTTCAAAAGCTGACTCTCTCTATCTTGGCAGGTATGGAAAGAAAGGTCACTCCTGTGAGAGGACTCCCTAGGATAGCCATAGGATGACTGAGGGGGAAGAGGTGAACCCACAGTGAGTCCAATCAGCAGTTGGGTTTCCATGGGTTGTTCACAGAACAATCAACCCACCATGGCTTACTGCCAGCCTGGGTTTCACATCATGTGAACGTGCCCAGTGCCTAGCAATGGGAAAAGCAGAATGACTGACCCACATTTCCCTCCTGAATCTGTACAATGAACTACTGATCGACCAAGGAACGGCAAAAATTTTTGTAGGCATATGTTTCTTATAATGTTTTTTTTTTCTTTCCCTTCCTTCTCCCCCCCCCCCCCACCCTTAGGCAGACATAATGTACAGGTCTTGTGAAGGCCCATGCAGTTACTTGGGTCACGTGGTGTATTGTATTACTGGCCCTGCCTTGGCTCTTAGCTTACCCCAATACATACTTCTCCCCCCGCTCCCCCCATCTTAAATGCTATGTAACAGTAGCAGTAACCAGGCAATAGCCAAGTATGTATTGCCACGTGGGACAGCTGCTGTCTAAAGAGGAGTTCAGACCAGTCCACACATGCTTTCCTTCCATAATGCTTGAGTGCACTACCCCAGCCTTTCTCCAAGCTGATGCCCTTCAGGTGTTTTGGACCACATTCCCCATTCAATCCCACAATCTGCCTGGGAATATGGAAGTTGTAGTCCAACATATCATAAGGATGCCAAGTTGAAGGAAGGTTGCCCTAAAGCCTGAAACAAAGAGAGCTACAGAAGTGTCCAGAGCTAGAGAGAAGTTGCAGGAATATAATCAAGCTAATCTCCCAGTGCAATAAGTATTTTTTTCTGGCTAGGACAGGCAAAGAAAAGACCAGGAAAAGAAACAGCTGGTGCAAGTAACTTAGAATTTAGGGCCAAATTTTAGCCAGGCCACTCCTCGGTTACTGGGGAAGTAGCAAGCACTGAATCATTTCACTACTCCACCACACACCATCTGCTCATATTATGACTCACCACATCATCACACACCTCCCCAAAGAGCCCATACAGGACTCTGTCTGGAATGACCAGAGAACCCTTTCTGCCGTTGAGTCAATGGTCAGCAACTGGCCTGGTAACATCAAGCCATGTATGGAAGGAACGCACGCATTAGCCGCTAACTATACCAACAGAGCTGGCTCCAAACTAGATGCCAAGCACTTCAGCACTTTGAGCTGACCATAAATGGTCCTTCTGCATGTTTCAAATACCTCAAGATGCAATGAACCTCACACACCATCTCTGGCTTCCTCTAGATCAGGGTCCAGCAACGTGCAGTGCTCCAGATGCTTTAGCCTACCACTGCTATATTCCCAACCATCGGCTGTGTTAGCTAGGACTAAGCCGTAGGCCAAAACATCTGGATGGTCAGAAGCTGCCAATCCCCACTCTAGACAGTGCAAGGATTAGACCAAGGGTCTCCAACCAGGCACAATTCCAGATGTGTTGAATTACAGCTTCTATCATTGCCAACTAGCACACCATTATCTGAAGGAAGCCAGATTGGGGAGTGGTGGGTTAAATGTTCTGTTGACATTTTGCACACATGGAATCAAATGAAATATGCCCATTGTACCATTCTAGCGAGCTGGTCCTCAAGTGAGCATGATGCAGAAGAGAGCTGTTGTGGCTATGAATCTGAACTATGAATCACAAGGTCTCCAATCTTAATTTCAGCACTTTCTCTCAGTCCTCTGTCCCATGATATTGGCTCAATGCAGTGTTGTTACAAAGATTACAAACTAGAGAAAGATCATGAAGCTCTCTGAACACTTGAAAGTCCTGTACAAAATATTAAGTAAGAGGAAGAAGCACTCAGAGTGTCTGGAGTTAACTGCCAGTGTTTAGGAAGGCAGTTACCTGTGACCTCAATTGTTGCAGAATCTGTACTTAATCCACACCAAGGATGGGCAACTTGGTGTCCTACCAGTGTTGTGGACTGCAATTCCTATCATTCCTCTCCATTGGCTCTGCTGGCATTTGCTCATGGGAGCTTCAGTCTAAAACATCTGGCAGGTACCAGGTCGTATAGCGGAGATCTGTACAGTAAATTGGGGGCTGAAGTTGCAGATGAGTTAAACAGGATATTCCTTTCAAATCTTACAAAAGAAAAGATGGAAGATGAGGTCAAGCTTCTTGAGCTTTAGAAAACCGCAACCGCACCCTGCTTCTTATAAGAAAGGCCCATTAGCGACAGTGTATATAGTTCACAAATGCAGGCCCCTTGCAAGAGCAGCACTTAGGGGATCACCAGAGCAGCTTTGATTAAAAATAATAATTACAAACTTAATGGATTTGTAAGTGGCTTTGGAAAAGAAAACAGTCACTTAGTTGCATGCCAAAGAAATCAGCACTGTATTAACCAGGTCAGAGAACTACAGCAGTGGAGAAAGGAAGAGGGTGAAAGAAACTAAGTGGAGCTCAGTCTGGGTTGGAGGCTCATTTATAATCCTTTTCACTCAAAGTCAGCAGAGATGGAGGATAATGCACACAATATGACCCAGGGGAGAAAAATCCCAAATCCAGCCCAGCTGAATTCCCTCTCCCGCTGCCAAGTCTCAGCTTTAAAAGCATCAGCCTTTCCTTCCATTCCTTCTGTCCACACCCTACACAGCAGGCTTGGAACCTTGCCATCTAGTTTCATAGCCAAAAAAAAAAAAAAAAACTATTATTAAGTACAGGCAGGGAAAGAGAAAGCAGAAATAAAGAACTCAGCAAGAAACACTAGATCTGGACAGAGAGAGTCAGATACAGAAGAACAATTTAACCAAAACAAAAAATCATAACCCAGGGTTAGGCAAGTGGTTGGGAGCCACATGAACTTCCGTTTTACTGCACAGATCAATACAGGAATATGAATGCCCTGGAGGAGACTTCCCCAAATCTGTGCATGCTGCCTGGAGATGAAAGCTGCAACTGCAACACTTGGCGGGTTCCAAGCTGCTCAAGCTGCTCTAGAGCCCAGGGAAACAGCAATGCCACAGGCTTATATAAGTATTTAACAGATAATTTAAAATCAAACTTCTACCTCATTGCTGGGCTACTCTTTCCAACAATACTTTTTCCAGGTATTCATAGCACAAAATAAAATAATAAAATAATATAATATAAAACAAAACAAAACAAATAGAAATACAAATACAAGACAAGACAAACACATTTATAGCAATGTAAGTTTTCTTGAGTAAGGGTCCACCAGGATACAAGAGAGTGGCCACACATCCTGCTTTACAAAGCTTGGTACCTTATGTAAAGGGCTGCCAGAGGACAGACTCCTATTTGAAGGTGTCCTCTATTTGATAAGCTATCTAATCTTAGCCCAGTTTAAAGAGGAAGAATCATAAGAAGGAAAAGCAGGCTGGGCCTTGTAGTTGCCCATCAACAGCTAGCACCTGGTCCCTGTATTCTCCACCATGGTGAGATGTATTATTTTTTCATTTAAATTATAGTTTAATTTATTAAGAAATTATATTTCTAATTTTGCATCTATGCAGTTAGATTAAATTATGCAAATTTCATGCAAAACTGTCCTCGTTTTTGGTGGTATGTGTCTCCTGTTTTTATGGTGACAATGGGACAATGTTATATTTCCATCTAAACAAAACTTTGGAATCCTGGAAAAATCTCTCCCTATCCCAGTTGTTACGATCTAGCAAGTCTAAGTGGTTCCTAACCACTTTAGGGATTGACCAAAACATCAATTTAAGTTGTTCTGGTCAATTGTCTCATCACAGAAATGCACCATTTCTACTCTCATCTTTTTACTCCAAGTGCATTCAAGCCACCTACAAAACCCCAAAACAACCAATGACTATAAATGGCTATTGCAGGGTACCCAAATGTCATTCTTCTGAACATTTCTTGGGAACAGTAACACTTTTCCCTGCACTGGAGCTGTTCCTGGGAAAATGCCACTCATCCCCTTTGTTTCCCCATCCTGCAGGTGAGAAAATGTTATTTATTCCATTCAGAGGTAATACCTGATGTGATATCCAGCAGCTATTATATCACATACATTTACACTTTCTTCTGAGTTCACACCTACTTAACAAATATTTTTCAGGATTAATTCTAAAATTATTTTAAATAATCCTGTATAGGGCTAAGAAGTCACTGCTAAACCATTTCAGCACAGGAGTGCTCACTTATCCTTTCAATAGAAAAAAATTACTCAAACACCATCAAAGCTACTATGTTCCCATAGCAATCCACTCAATGCCATTCATTGGGCTTGTTTCTTTTTGTCCCAGATGATACCTTTACTTCTTCCCAACAGTGGAACGCCTATTTCCCCCAATTTTTTTAAAAAAAGCAAACCCATAAATTCTGCGAAGCACTACATTTCTCTGTACCATTACTATGCTTTATGCAATGAGATTCTCCAATCCATTCTCCAATCCATGATGTATTGAATCTACATGTCAATGCAATGGCCAGGAACTAGCCTGGGAAAGTCCAACATATTAGAAACATAGAAACAGAGCGAGTCAGAAGGGGCCTCCCGGGCCATCTAGTCTCACCCCCGGCTCCAGCCGGCTCCGCTCATGACATGCCCACCATGTATGTGCATGCCCACCATGTGCATATTAACTTGAATTGATATAAAACTCAGGAATAAAGGCTCAGGCCAACATTTTCACTCACCAGTTACTGGATCCAACATATCCAGAAACGAATAACATTCCCCAAATTAAGTGGCTTTATTTATTTATGTATTTATTTTTCATTTCCATACATTGCCCATTCAGCACAGTCCCTGGTGGGACACACCATTAAAAATTATGGCACTGTTGTGTCAGCCACTATGTCAACAGAAAGCTGGACTAGAAGGACCTTTGGTCCGATTCAGCAAGGTCTGTCTTACGTTTTAAGTTCTTTCTGTACTTGGCTACATTCAGCATTAGGAGCCAGACAGCTCAGTGTAGTTTCTTTTTACTTGATGGGTTATACATAGGAAAGCTCAGCAGAAAACTCACCTGCAGAATAACACTGTCAGGCTGGTTGAAGTTGGGAGCACTTGACCGGGCACTAGAGGGGCCTTGAGTTGCTGGCCACAAACCCAGCAGTTTCCGTCCACAGGTCAAGACCCTGGAAGAAAAAGGAGGAAGTGGCATTCATGGCAGTTTCAGGCTTCTGTACTAATTGAAAATGACATCTGCTAGGTGAAAGCAGTGCCAGGAGAATTCAATTACCTAAGAAAACTACCCATATAACATTGTTTTCTGTTACCATTCTCAGCTTCTCATCAACTATGCCACAATCTGGAATGAGTTTATTTGAAGCTAGCAGGTGTTTAATAACCCATTGAATGCTCATCCAAAGTTATAAAAATTGTCAAGCTTAATTCTTCCTATGGATGCATATATAAACAAGCAAGGAAGAATATCTATAAGAAAAATGGTTTGTATGCACATACCGAAGCAGGTCAGTGCCTACATTTATATTTCTCTGGCAATCAAATGATCTTCCTCACATGATCGTTCAAGAGCATGAACTGACCTGCTTTTCTGAGCAACTTCCTCAGAACTACAACTACTAGAAAGAAGGGAGCCAAAGTTTAAAGCAAGCAGTGGTCAACAACATTGTAGGATTCCTTGGGTAACTTCTTATTTGTATGGTTCTGTTCACTGAGGACTCAGCAGAGATGGAGGTTTAATCTCCCGCTACAGGTATTAAATCAATACAACAAGGCTAAGGACACTGTGTTAACACCAATTATTGTTGCTGTGAATGGTCACTGTACTCATCCCTTGCAGTCATGGCCATTTGAAGTAATTTACAATGTCCCCTCCTATATCAACACGTGACTCTTTACCAGAAAAAAAAACAGAAAAACCCCCTGATAAAATGGATTCTAGTCCACAAAAACTTATGCCACAATCAATCCGTTAGTTTTAAAGGTGCAATAAGCTTTTCTTTTCATGTTTGCTGTAACAGGTTAATACAGCTACTCCACTGGAATTTAGCCCAAACAGTTGTCCCAGAAAGCAGCATTGTTTATTTCCTGCTGCTCTATCTTCCCCCACGGAGAAGTGATCAGAGCAGGCACACGTACTGCCGGAAGTTGAAAAGTGGGGTGGTGACCCAGCCCAAAGCCTCTGGGATGCGCCGCTGCTTGTTTGTCTCTGAAGAGCTCCCAGGAGGTGCAACTGGAATGGCATAGAGTGTGGCTGTCAGCAGAGTCTCTCGTGGCAGGCAATTCACTTGAATTGGGAAGCAAATCCTGGAAGAAGTTACAGGGAAATTAACTCAGATGAACTTCATGGCCTTTCCCCCTGGAAACAATGCTCTGTTTAATCCTTACCAGCCTCCCCCACTAGGTAATTTTCAGACGTGTTGGACTACACCTCCCAGAATGCTCCATCCAGCTATGTGATACTGGCAGTGGATGATGTAAGTTGTAATTCAATACATCTGGAGGGTCAAGAGGGTAAAGGAAGTCTGCCAATCCTACAGTGGCAGTAACTGTGATTTCCATATTATGTCTTGAGTAGACAAGAGGAAGCTGAAGAATGCTTGTACGCCCACCATGGCTGAATCAAAGCCTCCCGGGCCTAAATCCAACACTTCATATTAGAGACTCTATAAGCCAGGGAACTTAGTACCTTCCAGATGATTTGGACTACAACTCCGATCTGCCCTACCTGATTGGAGATTATGGGAGCAAACATCTAGAAATGTATCAAAATATCTGGAAGGAGAAGTGTAGATATCTGAACAAGGATAGTCAAACAGAGACGCAACAGGCAGTTCCCACTATGGATGGGTGTTTTGATAACATAAGAACCCTGAACTGGTCAACAAAATTACCTTTCATGGCATGCTAGCAACTTGCACGTTCCAGCTTATAGTCAAGAGAACACAGGGCAAAGAAGAGACTACATGGGCATTTCTCTGGGTACCAGTGGGCACAGTGGTGCTACAGGCCGCTGCCAGGCAAAGAGCCTTCTCTATAGTGCACCCCACTGCCCAGACAGGGATTCTGGACAGGCTGGATTGGAATGCTGACCCTCAGCTTCTGCACATTGGTCTGCAGAATTCTCAGGGATTTCAGGAAGAAGACCCGGAAAATGTCATTCAAGCAGGTACGCCCTACGGCAGGATTCCGTGTCAACAAGGGGCAACCAGCGCTGTAGTACCTCAGTAGGTCTTACTGCCAGGATCAGCCCTGGGCCTCCTTTTAACCAATGCTCTGAAATGGGCCCTGGGCAGTTAGTCCCAAGGAACCTCCATTGTAGTATATGCCTCAACTTATTATTGCTCCTGGGGATGTTACAAGTGGGAGTGAGCTGGCGTGGGTCAGTCTCTACTACTGGGGGTGGGGCACTGATGCAGCAGTGGATGAAACAGAAGCCTCAAGGACCCTCAGAAAGCAGGAGCTGTTTCTGCCTTACAGGCTTAGGTTTCATTGACCCATTTTCCTGCTCTTCCCCTTCAACTGCTCCAGTTTTCTCCACAGCAGTGTTACTTAATCTATATTTTGTATTTGTGCCTTGCATTACTTTCTTCACTCAAGAATGTACGAAGAAAAAAGTAGGATATCAATCCAGGACATACACTGCACAGACCAAATTCACATTTTCCCTTAGTTTATTTGCAGAAGCAAGTATATTTCTGGAAAAGCTTCAGACTGTAGCTTCAGCCAAAGGAGAAATAGGTCATGCTGAAAGCCTATCACTTCTTTAATGTTCAGCATTGCATCTCAACTCCTGCTATGCAAAGAAGAAGAAAAGAAAAAAGGGATGGCACGACACACATGTCTTTAGGTCAAATCTCCCCTGGCAGGAGAGAGCAGGAGGCTGGTCCTTCATTTCAGAAAAGGTAAAGAGGAAAAAAAATGACCAGACGGAGGAGGAGACCTCCTACATCTACACCTACCCTCCCTAAAGTCCAGAAATACAGAAGGCAAAACTATTCAGAAGGCAGCAATGAGGGATTGTGCAGAAGCAGTGCCAAGCCTGCCACAAATTTATCTCATGCTGAAATACAGACCTTCTTCCCCAGACTGCCCCTTCTTAAATCTAGAGCACAGTGTTTATGAAGAAGCCAGAAGGTCTCTATTATAGATTCCTGGCATTCATAACTGTAGGGCCATGCCTATAAAGGGAACTTTATATAAACAGCTTAACAGCTGCTTAGTCACCGAAATAAATGTGACAATCTTCCCTCTAACCCATCTACCCAAATATTCTTGTTCTGCACAAGTGGTAGTTTGGGAGTCTTTGTACATTTGTTTTTTCTTGCATGTTTCAAAACAAAACCTAACAGTGAAGAAAAAAGAGGAACAAAATCAAATAAATGTTACAGTTTTCCTACATGAAATTTAACATAACATATACTTTGTGTTATGTATTATTGTATACATATATGTAGCAAGCTATTGGGAAAGGTGATTATGAATAAACTTCAGCAAGGTAGCTGAAAGGTACATATATTTATTAATTCCTAAATTATGACTAAAGACCACTCATTCAAAAAACTGAACATTTCATTAAATCCTCTGCCCATTGTGTTATCATAGGTGGCTAAGTATCTGCCAGCACTGTATTACTAGCCTTTTAGCTTTCATCGTTCAGCCTGAGGGTCAAATTACATTTCAGAGATTTTCTCAGGGGCCACATTCCAGGGACAGGAAAGGCCAAAGGCAAAGGGGGCAGGCCAAAATTCCAAGAAAAAACAGCATATTTTACCTTAACGTTCTTACTGCCAATAACTATGCTTTAAGAAAGAAATTCCAATCTGTCTGAATGGGAAAAAGCTGCACAAAAGCCAAGAACCCCCCACCCCCCTGCCCATGAAAGGTGGTTGGGGGAAAGGTGCTTGAGGTCAGGGGAAGGGGCATGGCCACATGAGGACAGGAGGAGGGCCGGGCTCGTGGGCCTGACATTCTGCTCCCCTGCGGTACTGCCTGTAAACTGCAGACAGCTTTACAGACTCTTCACAGCAGATAATTATCAGATAAGGAATGAAAACACAGTGACTTGGCCAGGACCAACCAGTTCGGTCTACAGCCAAACAGTGGGCTCAGCTAATGTTATGCAAGTTAAAAATTCACCAATATGACTACTGGAGCATGTTGATTTTTCATTTTCAAAATGAAAGTTACAGGGGCGCAACCCTGCCTACAATTCATACTTTAATCATCACTATCATTTATTTCCCATTTATTTAATTTGTATCGCTCCTTCGCTCTAAAAGAGTGCACAAGGCAGCTAACATCCCCATCATTCTATTTATTTGTAAAAAGTATTGAAAGTGCCTAGAGGTTAAGAAAATAATGCCTTCTTTCCTAGAAGCCCGTCCCTCTAATAATTGACCAGTGATTTACTTAAAGATGAGAAGATGACACTTAGCATGCATTTGGAAATACTTTATTAATATTTTAAAAAGCAGGTATTATTTTCTTTCCATGTCTGACCTATGGCATAAAAATGACATTGCAGCTAAAGTCAAGTGAAATCAGTTTCGAATGAGGCTCTGCAAGAACATCTCCAGTTTCAAGAGGGAACACAACTGCTCCACATCCCAAATTTTTATGTGGAGCCTTCCTGGCTGGAAGGGAGGATGGGGAAGAACACAGGCACTAACCTTGTTCAGGGGGTTTATTTCCCTTTCCGTACAGCCATCATAACAGCATATGCCACCAACCAGGCCTGGTGTGGATCCCGTAGCATAAGCAGAGGAGGAGACTGTGCCAGTTCAGTGCAGTCTCAGAGAGACAAGCAGACAGTCCCAGGGCACTACACAAATTGCTCATGACTCCAAGCCCTGCTTGCAGCTAGCAAAGGGCCTGTAGAAGTAGCAGCTACATGGTGAACTCCTCATTCAGGCTATCCAACCCCGGAGCTTGATCCATCCTAGTTCACTGAATAAAGCACTCACACAGCAGAAGTTTTTAGGCAACACTCCCCATGTTGCTTTGCTGTGTGCCTCCTCCCGGCATCCTTCTATGGGACAGGCAACTGCTAAAATTATCCCTTTCCCATCCCTTCTTCTGCTTGCCTAGTAGAAATGCCAAGCTACAATCTGAGCTATTTTTGGATCAAGTTCCCTTCCCCCTTCCTTCAGCAACTACAGCAAACATACCCACAGGGCACCGAGTACAGGGTTAGGCAAGGAGACCTCCTCTCCTCCTTGCCATTGGACACCCATCGGAAGTTATTTTGCCAAGTTCTCAAATTCAGACTTCTGCCTGGGGCAGGGTGTGGGGGTGCAGGGCTTGCTCAGCAAGTCACAAAAGGAGGGGAGGGTGAGTCACGCTTTGCATAGCAGACATGTTCGTCACTTTCCCACCAGCCATTTTCTCATGGACACACAGCAAAAATGAAGGGAAAAGTCAGGTCTAGGAAGAAGCGGTGGAGAAAGGAGGAAGCCATAGACACTTGTGTCTCTTCCCTCAGATGCACATGGTAGAAGAGCAGCAAACTGGGCCCCGGTGTAAAACACAAGGGACAAACTACATATTAAACACAAACAGGACAGCTCAGCCAACAGTGGCTGTTGCCTGCTTTTTCAGCACTCTTTAAAAATTGTATTTGGCATGCTATTTAGGCTATTTTATAATACATATATTACTTTGGATACATTTTTCATAGAAAAGCTACTTACATCTATTTGAAATCAATTCATAACTAGCCAACCCTTTGGGGAGAAATAAAAACACGTACAAGTGCAAGTCTGCTCCGGGAATGATCCATTTGCGCACAGGAGCAGAACATGTCTTGTGATATCTCCTCTCCAGATACCCACCTTGGAATGAGTTTATTCTCCCTTATGATGCTTCAAAGGCAATTCTGCCCTTGAGAGTATCTTTGGGACCTCATGGTGAAATGGAAGTGGAGCAGAGAAAAAGATACAGGGAACTGATTAAACAGCCCCTCCCCACACACTCACGGTTTCTCTGCCAAAGCAGATACACCATTTTTCAAAAGGCAGAAATCATTCATTTGGAATGTGTAGTTTGGCCTTAATCAGTTTACAATATTATAAAAGCAGGCTGGGTTTTGCTAATGGACATGCAGACACAATGATTCTCCTAAATAGGTATCAGTTCAGTGTGACAAACTGCCTACACAATTGCATGAGATGAATGCTCACATCTGTTTTGCATGCAAAGAGAAGCCACAGCCAACAGTATATTGTTTACACACGACAAAATAGGCATCACTCCAGAAGCTTGTCACACCTATAGGGTGCATGTGATACAACGTTTTCTCCATGTGTGTGCAAACCATGTATGAGAATTGCCAGAGGAGGAGGGGAGAGCTTCTAGAGTAAACCCAGAAGCCAAGGGAGCAAAACATGAGTAGAAAAGTCAATTAAAAAGGAATGTTGCCAGTAGGAAAATCCTAGAATGAGTCAAAGTCTCTGGAGTGACTGATGATCTCTGCAACTGCTGAAATTTTGCCTTTGCATGGACAATCAAGAACAAGAAAAGTCAATTTATACGTACTGTATTTTACATTTATTTGGGCACATTCCTCAAAATGTATCAAGTAGCAGATGGAAGTCTATGTCTACAATAAATATTCCTGCCTTTTGTCCTCTAGACAATTCCCTTTTCCTACATTTTTGCTCCCCAGGGATTATCAAGCAGAAAAGAACAGTCTTCTTTTCTCTGTGTTTCTTGTTAAGGTCCCTCCACACTCCACGGGCATAACTGAATACATCTGTAGATCAGGCAGTTCCATTATATTGGCTCAAACTATTGACTCATCCAACTCCGTATTGTCTAAACCAGGGATAAGCAGTCCGGTGCACTCCAGATGTTTTAGACTACAATTCCCGTAAGACTCAACCAGCCTGGCCAATGATCAGGGCTTATGAAAGTGTAGTCTAAAAAGTATGGCTGGTACCAGGTTGCCTACTCCAGGGTCACACTACCTGGCAAAGGGGACTGGCCTCACCTGGAGGTGTCAAAGTATGAACATACATGCAAAGCATGTATTCTACCACTGAATTGCAGCCTTTCCCCTGAAAAAGGGGTATTTCGATCAATTCCTTAACCAATACACCTTAACAATATGCCAGATTTCCTCTATCTAACTAGCTGCTTTCCTACCCCTATCCTCACCCTGACACAGATATAAGAGACAAGTGGGGAGGTGCCTTACTTCTGGTCCCAGATGATGAGATGGAAAAGGTACTTGTACACGTGAGCTTTTCTGGTCTGCAGGGGGCCCCCGAGCTCCTTGCCACCGTGGCTTAGCGAACAGGAGAGGTAGAAATCTTCATAGCTGAAAAAAGTAGGGGAAGGAAAGGCAAAATAGAAAAAGTCTTATTATTTTACAAAGCAAACCAGAATGGGAGTTTGTTTATTTATTTAGGACTTTTCTATGCAGTCATTTATTCTAGAGACTCTCATGAGAGTTTGCAATCCCTCAGGTTTGTCTCTGAGGGACTGGAAGCCCTGGCTAGAAGCAGTCTGATGCCATTTCTAGCTGCGGCCCCATAATAAACAGGAGAGACACTTGAAAGAAAGATCTTGGCTTGATTTGTTTCATGCTTGGCATCTGATCCACTTGTGATAATTGGTTTGAATCCCAAGCCTGGAAAAACCTGTGCAGTTTCCCATTCCCAAGTGGACTGAATGAATGACAGACAAACTCCATATGGTTCGGGTCCAGTTTATGATATGCACAAAGCAAGTCCATGCAGCCAGAAGTATTCTGCCTTGATGGAGGTTCCCCAAACCTCCACCCATCTCTATTTGAGATTCAGTAAAGTTCAAGTGTCCTTCAGAAGCCTTGTAAGATCTTATATCTGAGAGGCTCAAGAGAGAGGCTGTTGGGGATTAGCACCTGTTCTGTTTTAGCTGTTCCTATATAACTTTAACAGGTAAGTTAGGTTTGCATTTCAATCTGTTGTTAGTGACCCTGAAGCCATTAAGACCAAGTATGTACATCTGTAAGACCATACTCTTCCCTTGATCCCCACATCCATTCCATATCCTTTCCCTTTTTCTATTCTCTCCCTTGGGCTGTTGTTTTAACTGTGAGCCACTTGGGGCAGGAGACTGTTGTTTCATTATTGTAAAGCAGCTTGTACACGGATGGTGCAATGATAAGAATAAACATGCACATTTATTACAAGACCTTGCTTGTTCCTCCCATGCCAAGAATTACTTTGCTTCTGGCATAGGTACAAGTTATGCCCACTGTAAGTGCAACAGAAGGACACGGAATGGGGCCAATCCTAGATATCAGCATATTTTAATTTACGCGTAAAGCTCTTATATCCCATAACTAAGCCCTAGAAGAGACATACTGGCCTTTGCAGTGTGGGGAAGAGGGGAACAGACAAAACATTTGGGGATTTAGCCTGCTGTTTAAAAGCCTACCAGCTTCACTTGAACACATGACTAATATCTTGTGCTTGGGTAAAAGAGAAGGCAGAATCCAAGTAATCATAAATTATCAACAGCCTTGGCTCAGACTGAATAAGGTTAAGGATGGAAAAGGAGCTGTCAGTGCTGACCTCACATGCATTTCGATTAGACCATAATTCTGAGTTAGTTTTCCAGTTTACAACAATACTGTTTAATTCTTTAAGTACTGAATCCATTGAGAGCATATGAACCTTAGTTGCATCCTTTTGCTGATCCACCAGTCTCTCTTCCTCCTCTCTAATATGTGTGGGTGACCTTGTATGGGGAGCCACTGTCAAAATCCCAAGCTCAACAAACCCAAGCAGTGTGCGGATAGTAGCTTTCAGACCCAAAACTACCTGTTGCAACACATCCATATTATGAAAAATCTTTGCTATTTGTTCGGATTTCTAAAAAACCATCTCTTAACAGACTGTGCAATGCAGAGGCTTACATCTCAACATCCACTCAACTACTTCACCTGAATTCTTACTGAGTGTGTTTAATATTTCTTTATATGAGTTGGTACAGATTTTGACAGGAGATGAGCGGTCTGCCCTTTCTTCCAATACTGGATTAATTGACCAGTTAACTGGACAATTACATGACTAATATGCATGAGGAAATTGGGTGGATACTGTTTTCCTCTTCCAAATCTATCACTTTTTTTAGACAGATCTCTACAGGTTTGCAGACCAAAGGGTGCTCTACACGGAGGGCTCCTAGCCCCACCAATTGGAATGCATGGGGCAACTCTTCCATCTTTTTCTCTTTAATTGATTTTCCAAGTAGGAAAAAAGATCGAAGAGCAGATGGAAAAACCTGGGAGGATTTGATGAGCAAGACACTAACATCTGGACACCCATGGCAATATTCTGTGAAGAAGGCAGGGCGATGGCTGAATTAAAGCCCCTTCTCAAAGCTTTCAGAGATTCCCAGGGTTTGCCCCCTGACATGAAGCGATCATGGGAGCTTTGGATGAAGAAACCAATCATGTCCTTCTTTAAATTCAGGGCTCAAGGCAGGGTTGGAAGGCAGGCAAACCAATTTTTATCCACATTAAGTCCACTTTAATCAAACAGAAGCCTGATTTTAAAAAAAAACCCTTTGTCTCAGAATTCAAATCGGTTTCAACTGATCCAGAATCTGGATCAAGAGGGAGGGGAGGAGAGGTGAAAAAAGAGACAGCCTTTGCACAGGTTTTCACCCCACCAGAAGACCAAGTGTAAGGCACTTTCCCATCTTTTCAGAGATGCTCTATCCCTACTCCATTCCCAGCCAGCTGGATCGACATACGCCACTGAGAATGCCATCACACGGCACCCTGTCAGAAGGGCCGGGCCATGTGACAGGTGACAGGCGATGATGCTGGGAGGGTTACGGGGCAACAAAGGTCAGGACAGGCCTGGATTTCCCAGGCTACTGCCTTTGTTCAGAGTCACTCACACACTGGAATACATTAAGGGTGGGACAAAAGCAAGAAGTCCCTGGAGGGGTGGCCGCTAATGTTGCCATCTCTTCCCCAACAACCCCCCTTGCATGCTCCTGCTGCTGGGGGGGGGGGGATGTGGATTACCAATGGGTACCTCCCAGACATCGCCTCCCTGCCTTCAGTGAAACACAAACACACAAGCAAAGGCTTCTGACAAAGGAATGTCCCCTCCCTGCCCAGACTTCCTATTGTTTCAAGATCCATTAAGCAATTCCCCTTCACTGACACTCATTGGTTGAGGAGGCAGAAGCCCAGGCTAAGAAGCTGCCATCTGTCACTGTCTATGGGGCTGCGCCAGAAAGGCAGGGAGCCTTGGCCAAGGGGCTCTGCTGCTAGTCGCTGGAGTGTTCAGGGGGACCTTCAGAAACAGCACTGAGCAGAAGCAGAAAGTTGCACAGTCAGAGGCCCCAGTTCCCTCCAGCATCTGTCCTCGGGTCTTCACACCTCAGCCAGCCAGCCAGCCTGCCTCATTCCTTCAAGGGGAAATTCTTTAGAATACCAAGGCTTGTGCCTCGTTTTACTTTTTTATGCCTGCCTGCCTGAATTCTCAGTGCTCGTCAGTATTAAGGGAAAAGTGCTGGCATTAAATGGATGCAGCCGATCGATTAGCATCCCAACACAAACAGGGCAATGGAAATTCAAACTTTCATTTGGCCAGTGAAGGTTGATGCAGCCCCTCTTCACTGAGGTTGCGAGTCCAACACATCAGGCTAGGCAAAATGGATCTAACGCAATGTACCAATGATCTTTGCCAGGTTCCAGAGAAAATACTTTGCGGCTTACCTTGCAGCCCAGGTGATGGGTATGCGATGAGTGGCATAGACAGTAAAGGAAAGGGGGCAGGAGAGAAGCCGGGCCTCTTGGGAGAGATAATGCTTTCTGTTCCCATGTACCACCGTCTGGAAGTCTGCATTGAACGTGTTGCAGTAGAGTTCTACCAGATCCAAGATGGAGGCTGTCAAAGCCTCCACCACCTTTTCTGTAAGGGAGGGGATTGACAAGAAGCACTTCAGAATTCAGCAATATGCTCCTCTGAAACACAGATGCAGGACAGGCTTTCTGGCAACAGCTTGCTTGCTCGTTTGCTCCCCAGTGCTGCCAGCCTGCCACGGAAATTCTCAATGACTACTACAGTTCCCCTTAAGTAGCTGTTTGGCCCAGGCAACAAAATGGACAGTACCCCATATGACTTGCTCTGTGGGGCAAAATAGCAGAAACTGGGAGAGTTGGTTTCAACTGAGAATGGGAGCAGGGAAACAGGAGCCATAGCCCCAGTTATTAGATACCCAGCCAGCACCCTCTAGGCAGCTGCTTTAATCTCTCTCTCTCCCCCTCTCTCTCTCACACACACACACACACGGAGTTCCTCTTCCAGGATTTCCCACATTATGCCTAGTCTGACCCTCAAACATAATCCCTCAAGCTCATAAGACCAGCTAGCTGATTGGTAGTTTTGGAAATTTTCTCCCAGTTTATGTTTGAAGCAGAAGAAAAATGGAAAAGTCTGGTCCATAGCATTTTCTTTTCTAGGGAAGTTTTACCTAAATTAATCTGACTGTAGGTCCTAAAATTCCCAGTGACAGGCTATGCCAGCTGGGACTTGCCATCCATACATCTAGAGATCCCTGGGTTGGATAAGGCTGCTCTAGGGACTCATTTAAGCTAGATGCTCAAAAGGCTGCTGTTAATAATGCAGTTGCTGATGGTGATGAGTACAATAAATAGCTATCTGCAATAATTTAGTACTAGAAAATTGCTCTTGGGAGCAGTGGGACATAAAAAGCCTTCGAAACTCAGTAACAACAACAAAAATATAGGAGAGGGGAAATTATTACCTCTATTTTCCCTTATGGCCAAAACATTTGGATCCTGTTCAGGAAAGAAAAGCCAGCACAGAAATATTTTATAACAATCAGACAGAAATGGAAGCAATTCCCTGGGCCAACTAACTTATATAACATGCATTAATGTGTTTCCACTCCCAGCAGTTCACCCCCATCCAAATGAGGAAGCATAGCTACATTTCCCTGACTTTTTAGGAATTCTAATGGTAAAACTTTCATTTGGAATTGAGAAAGATATGAGCTGCAGAAAAGGCCATGCATTGTTGAAATACAGCCTACTTTTGAGAAACACTGACTGAATGTACCAGCTTATCCTCACAAAAATATACGATCTTGAAAGAAGTTGTGCTGGATCAGATGAAAGGCCTGTTTAATCCAGCATCCGCTTCACAAAGTGACCAACCAGATGCCTTTGGGAAGCCCACAAAACTGTGAATGCAACAGCACCCTTCCGCTCATGGTTTCCAGCATCTGGTATTGAGAAATATACTGTCTCATTACTGGAGATAATATAGGGCCATCACTGCAATAGCAGAGATAATATAGGGCCTGCACTGCCTCATGCTGCCATCCAGTGTGTGTCATACAGGGGAAAAAGTCTTACATCTCCCAGATTGCCCCAGCCAGCACAGCTGGGAGGTGTAGGACTTTCCTTCCATCTAAACATGCAGAGGATTGTGCCCTTATCCTCAGAGTGAATGGGGTGGTTTCTGACCCACAGATAAAAGCTATTCCACTTTAGCCAACTCTTGGTTCAGAACTAAACTAGGATTAGAGAGACGAGTATGTGTTTTGCTCTTGTTCTAACTATTCATTGGTTCTTCTTCTCTTGACTTGTTCTTCAGCCAGCTTTGGCTTGGCCCTTCTCACAAATGTTTACTTTAGCAAGGCAAACAAACAAGGCAACCCTATGCTTTTTTCCTCAAAAGTAAGTCCCCCTGTGTTCAGGGAGATTTACTTTTGGGCAGGTGTGCTTAAGATTGCTGTTTCTGCTCCTCAAACCACTCATATCTCCTTCACAGTCTCCAGCTCAGTGTAGTCACTGTGTTTACCACCTGTGTTCAGAGTGAAATGTGTTAAAGGTATGGCATTCTGAACTTTAAACTACAGTCTGTAAACCATTAACTGTGAAGCAGCACAACTGAATTCAATAAAATTTCTTCAGAATAAGTGACTTGGAGACTTTGACCAAACCCACACAAAGGCCATCACAATCCTCTACACAAACCCAGGGCTCAATTATTCGATAATCTTTAAAATATGTATCCTGCATGTATCTGAAAGGAAACTAGTCATTAAGCTATTAAAATCCTATTAACTATTAGTCATAAAATTATTAAAAAGTCATGCATAAAATATCTCATGAATGTATATGCAAAATCCACTAAAATTTTTCCAATTGAAGTTTGATTTCAGAAAATAACATTGATTGAAAAATCCAGCTAGGACATGACATGCTTTCCGAAAAAAGGAAGCGTCTTGAATTGTTGTCTGAATACAAGGAGCGAAGGGCTCCGAGAGTTCCAAAGAGTTGGGACCACCCCAGAAGATGTTCCATTTGAGGCAGACCTTGCTGAGACTGCACTGGAAAAGCCACCATTTGGGAATCAACATTCCCGACAGGATGCATGACCACCAGTAACACAGTTCAAGAGAAATTTTGCATATTAGATATAATGTGCACTTGCTGTCTCTTCTTCCTCAGCTATTTCCTGACTGAAATGCCTACTCCTTACCTTCTGGATTTTGGGCTGCATGCGAGATGGACAGGGTGGCAGCTGATTCAAGGCTCCTGTGATCTCCTGGGACTCTACAGCAGCCAAAGCATTGCAAATGGCCATGACAGACTGGATTACCCGTTCTGCCTTCGGCTGGAAGTCTCCCTGCAGGAAGCATCGAAGAAAGTCTCATGACTCTAGGTAAGTACAGAGACAGCAACTCAGGGCCAAATTACACACAAGGATAAATGTGCCTCTGCCTTTAATGTACAGGTCTCTGAAATTGCAAACAGTATCAGATAGATGAATAATATGCCCTCAGGATCTTAGCAGGGGAAAGTGACGTATTCTCTCTTCCTGTGGTCCTGAAAGATACCCTCCTCTAAAGCTGGTCCTTGCTCTGGGTGAAAACCCCGACTGATCCAGGGTTATTCCAGGCCCAGGCCCCATGGTGAGGCCAGCTGGCCAAGCACAAGAGAGAGCAGCTGGCTGGCCCATAGGCCAAGTGGGTGGGTGGGCAGCTAGGCAAGGCTTCCACAATCACTGCCACTTGTGGTAAGTAGCAGCACAGCTGCCAGGTGCCCTTCAGCAAACGCCACAGCAGGAGGAGGACTGATGGAGCTCTCCAGAACCTCTGCTGAAGATCGTAAGGAGGCAGTGGTGGGCCCTCCAGGCAGGGGAGGGGAGGGGAGGGAAGAGCAGTGCTATCTACACCCTTCCCACTCAGCTGCCTGCTGTGAGCACATCAGTCTGTGCAATGGTAGGTCTGGTCCTGCATGGATCCCCCTCAGGATCAGCCCCACCTCTCTGCTGATAGTTGCATGCTTTTAAAACCTGCGTGTTAGATGAAAAGTACCATTGACTGTCATGTCTAGTTTGGCCCTGAGCCTTGTTCGCTGCTGAGTACCTCAGGCACAGGTAGGTTAATTGGAAACACCCTTCAAAAGTATGTATGGATAAGGGAAGGCCATCACAAAGAGACACAAAGAGAAAATCGCACACTTTGCATTTCATAGAACACTGCAGAAAGCAATGCTACTGTGCCTAATTCCAACTCTGATTTTATCATAGTATTGGGAAAATTGATATAGTTTACAGGATTCCCTTTGACACTTGAATGATACTGTGGTTGTTTATCAACACTAGCAGGAACTGTCAAGTAGGGGAAGAAAAGTACAAGGAAATGCTACACGTAGCTAACACTACGTGAAAGTAAACGAGGGCAGCGATGACACTGCAAACCCGCTCATAAACCTTTTACTACTTGCATACCTTTGACTACAGCTGACCCTTGCCACTTAAACATGCCACTTCTTCCCTTTCCTCTTCCTAAATGAGGCTTGCCAAGCCAGATGAGTGATGTCTCTGCAGACATCTCAGCCAACTGCAGTTGATATAAGAGAGCCGCTCAACGAATTATGAGAGATTTTTCATGCTGTTTATTGCCTGAACTCAACCAAAGGTGAGAAGAGCTCAGTGGGACATAGTCTTTATTCACCATATTTATATGTTAGCTTTCATCTCTGTGGCTAAGACCAACACAACAGGATAAGGAGAAATAGTTCAAGCTTCTCTGTTGAGTTGAAGCATGTCTTAATGGCAAACCCAAGTTTCCTGGATCCTAGGGAGCCATTGCCATCGCCTTCCACCAATATAATTCCAGTCTTGGTGCCTCAGATTATACAGGTGGAACTGCCACTAAGGGGTGCTGTTGTTCACTGCACACAAAGTGTACTGCAAACAGGTAGTCCATTGGATGAGATCCGGCTTGTAGGTGGTGGGGGACACATCATTTGAAAGCTCAGAAAGTGTGGAAGGGCAGAATTACAATTCATCACCTCCACTGTGCAGCATTTATGAGAATGATCCAACTCAGTAATGCATGTAATAAGCCTAGAAAATGCCTCCATGGCCTCACAGAAAGGAATACAAACAAATGAGAAGCCAAAAAAGGAGGGGGGGATGCAGAGTTCTTCAAAGTATAGAAACACTGCTGCCTGGCAACTGGATCACCCTCGTGGACAATGTTTGAGATTTTAACAAGCACAGCCCATGTATGTATTTTTTTTCTCCTGACAAAAAGCCGTATGTTCTAACAACTTGCCTTCTCAAAAACTCAAAGCTGTTAAAAAAGTCAAACCTACAATTATATATCAGAGAACTATATTCTACTTCCCTGCCATTTTCTGAATAACCTTTTATAAGTCACCTCTCTCTCTCTCTCTCTCTCTCTCTCTCTCTCTCACACACACACACACACACACACACACACTCCTCGTTCTATAAGAATGGTGCTTGACCTTGAGGTGGTTTTCTCATGTGAATATTAAGTTAGTTCTTGCTAAAATCAGTTTCGTGCCTCCTCTTCCAATTTAGCAAGCATCAGAATTCCCAACAACTTAAGTGTTAACATGATTATCGCAGCCTGGATTTCATTCATTTCATTCCCCTTCTGACTTTGTTGCTAAGTTTTTTCCTCCCTTTCCCTACATTCATGTGTACATGTATCTGCCAATTCAAAATGATATTCTGTGCATTTGTGGATGTGATTTTAGCTCATGAAAACTTTTGACATAATATCTTTGTCAATCGTTACACTACCATAAAGGCATTTTGACTCTACAGAGCTGAGACCTATTGAGTGCAATGCAACTACACCCAGGAAATTGTTCATAGGGTTACATCATTCAGGGGTTCTCACAAAAACAGAGAGGATCAAAGGCAATTCTAACCTCATAAATGAGAAAACAAGGGAGGTTTGAATACGTATTATTCCTATACTGCCAGCTGGGGTTCAGGTCATTCAAGTAGAACATAATTCTGTTCCCGATGGAAATATAAAGGTTTACTCTCAGTACTAGCCAGATAAATTAATTTCAAATGTATTCATTTAAGCAGGCTATAAAAGTCTCCTACTTAGGTCTCACCAACTCTTGTTTCTTTACTTATAATATCTTAATCACACTTTCTAATCTCTGTATTGAGAGCTAAATAATTTAGAAGTTTCTAAATGAAAAAAGGAGTTCTTTCCCTGCATGAATCCTAATGCCCTTTCCAAGCACCAGGAACTTAACCTTCTAAGAGGTCTTATGAAGGCAGGCAAAAATAATTAAAAAAAAACATGTTTTTATTGTATTTATCACAAGGAAAGGGAAACTGAAACAAAGAGTGGATATGCTGCGTAGGAACTTGCTATCAAAAGCTGATGAAAATGCCAAGAACAGAACTTGTGAATCACTTCACTGCACCCAGTTCATTTCTGCTCTGACTGATAGCTCATGTTGTTCCATAGTTCGGCCTCCTGGCTTCATTCCCAAACACACTTGGGTCTGGCAGTCCTTGCCTTATGTTGGTAAAAATGAGTCCCAAGAGGGATTCGAGACTGGAATGAGGAAGTGGAGAAGCAAGCAAAAATGAGTTAACTGTCAGGTGCGTTGTGACAAACAAGATTCAAGTAATTTATTTTATGGGCAGGTCTGGCCCCAGTGAATCTGCATTAGAAAAATAAAACCTCCCATGAGTTTGAAGCAGGTAATAAAACCATACACAAGCAATGGGATAAGGAAAGGGCCTGAATGGAACTGTAGCAAAAAAATAATAAAAATAAAAATAAATGGCTGTAACATATTTGTACCCTAACCTATATTGTCATATTCAGATCAGATTCCATTTTGGAGAAGCTCCTGGGGGTACATTCCATTCATGACTGGGATCAAAGGCAAAAGGAACAAGGCCAAATTAATGAAAATAACAGCATAATGTTTAGTTTAAAGCTCTTATTCTCTTACAGCCTAAGCTTTAAGAGAAGCATTTCCCTCATTTTTTGAATGGGGAAAAAACGGTGCAAAGACCAGGCCAGCACCCAATGACTGGCAGTCATGGATTTAGCCCCAGGCGGAAGTTTTGCACCCCTGCTTTACCTAGCAGGATTACACAATGTAGCGACATTATTTTCAGCCTCTTCAGAAGCACCTGTGAAGCACAAGGAAGCACCTGAGGTTTTGTATTGCCATCTACTATGGAAGCTTATACCACAGACAGTACAGGCAAAGCGACTGTGAAACCCAAAGCCTCTTATCTTGCAACTACTAATGCAGACAATTTGAATAAAGCTATAGCAGAAAGTAGAAGTTGTGGTCCAGAGAATGTAAAGAAATGATTCAAGATATGTGAACAAAACAGTTTATGATGAAAAAATCGGTGATTTGGAAAAATAGTGTAGGGTTACCAGGTTTCCCATCACAATATCTTTAGGGTGGAAGTTATTTCATATCCTAAGGATGGCAAAGGTGTAATATTTACATTTATTAATATTCACCAACATAAAAGATGCTCATGCATTCCCCCAACCCTGCATACCACACACAGAAGTTCTGTGCCTTGTTTTAGATACATTAAAGAGTATTCCTTTAGGTAAGTCTGAAACCAGGTTTGGTAGGACCATCAGTACTCATCCTCTATGCTGTGTTCTTTGGTGATAGCAGCTGTAGCAGCCAGGTCCCATGAAGCCCATGTCTTGGCTGGAAGTGAATCTGCCCCACTCCCCTTACCCTGAGAAAGGCAAGTGCAATAGCAGCGAAAATGCCAGTCTGTCCACTAAATGAGCCACCTGCCATTTTAATTATCCCACAATGCCCTAATAGCAGTAGTGCTGAGCTCCTTCCCACAAGAGTGGCAATAAGGCCCCACTAAACCAGTTGTTGGCTTTGCCAACCCCAGATACCATGTTTTACCGTCCTGTTCCAACCACCACAGCATTAATCCCAACATTCTTCTCACCTCAGCTGCAAGGAATGCATCAACCTCATTGTGGAAAGTATCAAACAGAAGGCTCAGCGCTTGCCTATTGGGAGAAACAATAGCAATACAAACAAGCTGAGCAGCAAAAGTGAAAATGAGAGGTTCTACTGGCAGCATATGGAGGATCTGATTTTGCTAAGATTACCAGACAGTCCAGGACCATTTGTCCATCTAGCTCTGAATTGTCCACCCAAGCATTGTTGAACCTCATTTAGCCTGAGGGCCAAATGCCATCTGAAGAAAGTTCTCAAGGGCCACATTCCATTGGTGGCAAGGGCTGAAGGCAGACTGGGTGCATCCAAAGTATCAGCATATTTTAGCTTAAAGCTCTCACTGCTTGCAACTAAGTCTTAGTAGAAGGCAAATCAACCTTCTGCAATGGGAGCGAGGGGAAAGGACATATAAACGCCAGGAAAACACCAAAAGATTGATTGGGGGGACAAGATTGTGGGGCCTAGGGAATCCCAGAGGGCCAGACGGGAACCCAAGGCAGGCCAGATTTGGCCTATGGACCTAAGGTTCAACACTTCTGGTCTAACCTTAGTGGCCCCTCAGGGTCCCAGATGGGATTCATCTGAGTTCTAATTAGAGATCCCAAGGGTTGAACCTAGGAGTGTTTGCATTCTGTATTTCTCTACTGACCTACAATCCTTCCTCAAAAGGCCCAAGTGGTATTCGGCTGGTCTAAATCAAGAACTCCAGTGCTGCATCCATTTAAGTTTTTCTTTATTTGGTACTAACTTGCATATTCCAAGGAAGCAGTACATATGTTCTCCTCCTTCCCTGGGTATTCATCTTTACCTGGTGATGGTCTGTTTAATCGGCCTCTCCTGGAGGTGAATATAGTGGTTGAGTGTTGAAGAACTCTGATCATCATTCACCTGCATATGGGAAAACAGTTTCTCAAATATATCCAATCTATTCCTGTAAGGCCTGATGAGGCAGGCTGGTGCCAAGCTAGCAGGATCCACACTAGAAAATCAGACTTGGAACTCTGGAGTAGGCAAGCTGAGCCAACCACAGGACCAGATGTCTTAAGATGCCAAGAAGATCATATTCTCAGGATTTGCAGAGCAGAATGGCTCTTGGCTCTTCTTGGTGCCTTGACAGGCAAGGCAGCTTGAGTCACTTTGCAAGTACTTGCAGGACTAGTTTGAGGGCTGTAAATGCTTGGAAATCATGGGAGCCAGCTTAAATTTACAAGAAGTGCTATAAAGGTGAAGCAGTCCTACTTAGTGAGTCATTGTGGTGGTAACTTTGTGTTCCTGAACTGTCGTCTGCCTTCAGTACTTCTTGCCTTGCTGCTGGTTCTACCTTTGCCAAGTATCTGATTCTTCTCTGGTCCTGACCTTGCCTTCGCTCTGCTTCTGCCATGCTTTGTTCCAATATGATCTTGGCTTGTTCCTGGTTTTGGCTTTGCTTTCGTTAGGTATCTGACCCTTGCTAGTTCCTGACTGGATATCAGACATTCACTTGTTCCTGGCTTTGCCTCTAGTCTCTCCATGCTGGTATCTGATGCTTGTTTGTTGCTTTCCCTTTACTACTGGTCCTGCCATGCTTTGCCTTGTATCTGACCCTTCTCAGTTCACGCCTCTGCCTGCACTTCCGGTCGTGCTTTGTCTTGCCAGTTATCTGATGCTTGCCTGTTCCTCTCTGTCTTTTAACCTGTCACATAAGAATGGTAACTGACCCTCACGTATCCTTGATTTCATCCTTGCCTCTGGTCTAGCCTCACCTCGCCAGTATCAGACCTGTGCTTGCACCCATCTTTGTCCTTGGCTCTTGTCCTAGCACATCTCACCAAGACCGCCATCCATCTCCATCTTCCCTGGCACTTGTGTTCCTTTCACAAATCCCTGCCACATACACCCCAGAACTGACAATTCTAAGCTCTGCTGTATGGAAACAGTAAGATGCTGGATCTCCTATTCAACGCAAGTGCAGAGGCATAAAGGACAGGGCTCCACTCATTTGCACTAGGAGCCAGCAGTGCAGAAGTGCTTCCCAACAGGTGTTTTCAGAGTGAGGAGGTATAAGGGGCAGTGTCTATATGGACCAGGCCTGGGAGCAGCAGCAACAGAATTTCCCTGTGTGCATATAATCAAACAGGGTCTGGCTTGCCTTACACATAGTGCCTCCGTAGCTGTTGCAGTGCAAACCAATATTTTTACTTCAGCCAGGTACAGGAATAAATCTGCCTGTCCAAAAGAGGAATTATTTTCAACTGTAGATCAGGCAGCAAATATTGCTTACCCCCACCCATCCCAAGATTTTTTCCCCCTTTGTTCCTTTCCATATATCACTATAGCCAATAGAATTCTTTGGTGTCAGATTTGCTCTCAGGCTATATGTGAAGTATTGCCACCTCTACCATTTTCCATTAAGAAAGAAAAAAATAAAATAAAAATACTCTCTGGGGCAGCCCTAAACCAGACAGCATTGTTGGGAACAGCAGGTACAAATGTTGCTCTGTGGCCAGTGCGGAATGCAAACACCAAATCCCAATGCGGATAAAACAAGGAACTAGCATTGGCAAGGTGCGATCATCTCCTCTTAATAAGACAAGCATAACATGATCAACACTGGAGCACAGCTCCCATGTGCAAGGATTTTCTTCTCACCCATGCGCCAACAACTGCCTTACTTTCCTAACTCATCGCCCTCCAAATTTCTTGGATGGCAATGCTTATCTTCTTCATCCAATAGGCTGTGGGTGATGGGAGTTGCCATCATATCAGCAACCTTGGATGGATGAAACATGCTCCTTGTGCATTAGCAATAGCAGAAATTTCACCCATCTAGAAGGCACTGCCTCTGTCTGCATGTGCTTTGGTGTTCACTGGCAAGTAGGTATTTACCGTTCTAGCCAAATTGCTGCGCACAGCTTTCCGCTCCATCAGCTGCAGCCGGATGTCGATATCAAACTTCCTGCAGTGCTGGATGTATTCATGACTTCCCAGTGGGTGTTTGCTGGAAGGATACAAACAAAAAAGTATAACTGAAAGGCTTCTATCATGTGTTATATTGAAGCTAATCCAGGCAGGAAGGATCTGTAAAATCACTGCTCAAAAGGAGATTCTTACATTTAGCATAGAACAGGAATTTAGATTCTGCAACTGCTTCAGCATGGAGACCTTGAGCTAACCATGTAATGTTAATATCCTTTAGTTTTTCTCTCTGAGAAATGGCTGTTTGCAGATTTGATAACATCTGCTTCCCTGTGCAATGTAAAAAAGGTAATCACTCAAGAACTTTACAATGAATGCTTTGCAAACTTCAAAAATGCCAAAGAATGAAAAGCACACCAGATAACCAACAGGTGGGTAAAAATAAAAGGATGGAAGAAAAACGGTTTTAAACTGTTTTTTTCTACGTGTTGATTTACAATAAATACATTCTAAATTTGAGCAGCCATTTAAAAACATGATATTGAACTGAAACACCTTTGGGAAGTAGATTAGCCAAACCATGGCATGGCTTCCTCACTGTTCCTAACCGCACTGCAACCTCTTTGTAATGTATAATCTCTCATAACAGCCTATTAAAACCCACATACATCCACTAGAAACGCAAACCCAGATTGTAAAGCCCTGGAGCCAAAAGCTGTCCGTGATCATGAGGAGACGTGCCAATGGAAAGAGCAGTGCTAGGGTGAAGGGCAGGTGAAAGGGAAGGCCGGCCCTTTCACCTGCCCATCCGCCCATCCAAGAGGAAAGATCTGTTCTTATCTGTGTCAAGCCTACATCCTGGCCTCAACCAGCACAGCTGCCAATTCACAAGAAAATCATTTTCAGAGGCAGGAGAGAGGGAAGTGGGAGGGTGCTCTGTTTTTTAAAGGAAGAAAGAAAAGTAGAGTAAAACAAAACCTCAAAGGCTGGAAAAGGGAGATTACAAAAAAGGGGGAGAGGAGGGCTGGAGTGCCATAGCTCAGTTTCAATGGGAAGGCTTTGCATTTATTTTCAGGAAGGGCTGCAAGGTCTTTTTATGTGGGTTGGCTTGTAATGGCATTCTGCAAACTGGTGTCACTTTCATTCTGATAACAAGCTTTATTGTTTTAAAAGGCATTTGACTACATTTTGATATTACCAGTGTTCACAGTTCTATGCACTGGGGAGGGGAAGGCCAAGCTAGAAGTCAGTTCAACTAAAATCTAAGGAACAAATAGTGTGGTCACTTATGGAAGGCCAAAGAGAACAGCATCATCAAAAAAGACATCAAAAGACTGTGCCTGTTTGCATAGAAGTAACATCAGGCGATTCATCTTTAGACATGCAAATTTAGAAATGCAGCTGTTTGCACCACAGTGTGGGAACCTGTGACCAAGTGACCTGTGTGCCTGGATGTTCAGTGTGCCATGCTGGTAGTAGCTGTTGCTGGGCTACAGTTCTTCATCATTACACCGGACCTTGACTGAACAACACTTCCAGCAGACATGTTTAAACCAAGCCCAGCCTCTGGCAGCCCTTCAAATACAGCACTGTCAGATGGACAGGAATAAGTGCAGCATTCCAGACTGGCCACGATTCCCATGTATTACCTCCATTTTCAGAGGTGTTTTGTTGGGACATCAAAGGAGGGATGCAGCTACGCTCTTCCACTTGGGCTTCCCATCAACATCGGATTGGCCACGATGCAAGCAGATTGCTGGACTAGATAGGCCTTTGGTCTCATCCAGCAGGGTTCTTCATAGGACTACTGGGATTTCTCTATAATGCCAGGGCCACCTCCTTTGCTCGCTGTCAGCTGCTTGTTCCACTACAAATCTCTCCCCTTCCCAGCTCCCACAACCATGCTGCCATTCTAGAGGAAAGGTGGAGAAGGCATATTGGAATTGCTGAGCAAATATGGAGTGCACTCTCCAGATCCTCCCTGAACTGCCCCAGGAATTGAGAAGGATGTGATAGAATTAACAGAAGGGCAAGGGGATGAACCTTTGGGATGCACTACAGATCAGTGGCTGAGCACACGCTTTACATGCAAAAGATCTCACATTCAGTCCCCAGGATCTCCAGCTAGAAGTGGGAGGTGGGGGAGCATGAGAAAGAAGCAAGTGATATAAAAGGTGTGAGTCACTGGATTGCTGCTGCCTGTCAGAGTAGACAATAATTATCTAGATGGGCAGGTAGCCTGATCTGCTGTAAAAAAAGATTCCTTGGTTCTAGACTGTGGTTTCTATCTAAACAACTAGAACCAGACCGTTTTCCAATCTAGTTTTCACCCCATCAGATTACTTCTGGCACATCTCCATATCTGGGGCTTCAAAAAATATTTACCTGTTCCATTAAGAAAACAAGCTGCTACAGCCATCTCAGTTGAGTAATTCAAAATGTGTTTATTATTCATTTATAAACTTATGAGTCACCTTTCAGACCCCTTAGACAACTTACAATTAAAATTTTAGAAACAATCTGAAAGCTGTAGAATCACAGTTCTAGAAAGAAGAAAGAATCTTAACTCAGAGTGTGAAGCTAATACATGTAAAATATTAGCTTCCTCATAACTTTGTCTAAAACTGGACAAAGAAGGGGCTATCCTAATGTCCTCTGGGAGAGAGTTCTACCTGTAAAGGGCTTCCAGGGCATTGCTAACAACCCCATCCCTACATCTGTCTCCCAGGGCACATTATCTTTCCCACAAAGCCCTGAGAATCCACTGGTTTGATAACAGAATACATTTTTCTTAGCTTGCCCTGAAAGAGAGCAATTTTAAGAGGATTGTACTTGGGGAGTGAAGGGTTAACTCTCCTGTTCCCCCTTGGTGCAAACAGCAACCCTGCTATGCAAATCTTCCCCTGCATAATTATGGGCAGAAAACAACTTTTCTTCATTGGTTCATAGTGTGCTTGAGCAGAGTGCAAACCAACTGAAAAAAATAATTTTATTTGAGGTATTTGGATGAAAAATTGGCTCGCTTTGCATCCTACGACATTGAAACAAATCCTACTAAGTATATAGATGTAAATTAAGTTTTGCAGATTTTATTTATATCTGTTTCCTATGGGCTGGGCCCTGAATCTTGTAAGTCTTAGCAATGCCCATGGTTGCCACAGAGAAAGCTGCCCTATGTTCCCTTCAGTCTAATCCCTTTTGGCAGTAAAACATGCAGAAGGTTATACAAAGATCTTAAACTATGGAAGCTTCATATGGAAGGAGACAGTCTTGCAGTTATCCTGCTCCATGCCCTGTTTGTCCTCTATAATAGAGGCATGCCTGGCATGTTAGATTTTTGTTTGTTCTGTTTCCAAGACTATAACCTGAATTGAGTGATTGGGTTTAGCATTTTGAAAAACTATGAAAAGAATTACCTTCTTCTTTCCACAGTTCACTCCCCCACTGGACATTCCAGCCTGCTCTCGTTCAAGTCAGGGCATGCAGGACCAGGAATAATTACTGGATAGCAGACTTTGTTTGACCTCTCTTGACTTACAATTGTATTTCCAGATTTTGTTCAATATTTGATGTGTACCAGCACCGGGGAGTAGATAGTTTAAGAAATGCAAGCAATGTCAATATCCAATATATATCACTGGAATGCTGGCACATGAAAATTAAGACTATTAGCTTTCCTCTATGGAAGGGCACTTGTTAAAAGAATAGTGCAGGATAATTGCATTTGAAAACACACACACACACACCCTTTGATCATGCACATAAAGAGCTTAGCTAAGGGCAGAGACAGAGAAATATTTGGAAACCAATGTACAGACTATCAAACTGAAGTAAGCTCAGGAGCTTAATTTTTATTTTCAAAATTAACTGGCTGAGCAGAATGCTGCTTGAGTAGCCCTTGTGGGATTCGGAAAACTGCATCCCTCTAGCATCCCTGCTGGACTGCGCAGAGTGCTGAATGGCAACTCATGAAGACATTCTCCCCCCTGCCAAGGCTAGATTTTTTTAAGATTGAGTTTTAAGTTGGCAGGAGATAAGCAATTAATAAACGTTTAGACAAACTGGTGTTAGATAAAGCCCAATTTCTTCCCGAAGCATGAAAGAGAGATGAAAATCCATGCTAGATTTGCAGCTGGGTATTCGCAGCTAGGACTAAGGCCCTGGCGGGTGCTGCAGGTCTCATACCCTCATGTTTATTGGGATTTCAGCATCATTATAAGATTTTAAATGACAGCAATTAAATGTATTTGTGGAAGTAAAATGTTCTCCATATGGATATTTGATCATCTGATCTTCATGTATCATTCACTAAAAAATTCATTTGTTTTAAACTGGTAAGGGAATATAACCAAGAGTGTTTTGGCACATCCGAAACTAACAAGATGACAAAATAAATGTGTTCATCTGGTGTCCCTAGATCTGTTGATTCTGACACATTATACTAACAAGGCTACCCTCCGGAAAAAGAAATGCAAATACAAATACTACAATGTGTGTTCTCCAGTGCTTCAAAAATTATCCTGAGCTGAAACTGAATTTTTAAACTGCTCAAAAACATTCTGTTGCTCAGAATAAAATCCCCACAGGCAAGTTATTATTATGCACAGTTTATGATTTGGTCATACGAACAAGTTTCCTTACCCCACCTCCAGCATCCCAGATTCCAATAGTTATTTTGAAATATATAAAATGATGTTACAGTTTCCACCGTTCACGCATACTCATGTTTAAAAACTCGAACGACAAGAGGATACTTTCCCTTTTGTTTCTTAGCACATTCAAAAATGGTGCATGCTGAAGCACCCGCAGTTTGAAGATAAAGCAATTTGCTATCTGGCTGCTGAGTCAGCAAGAGAAACTGCAAAACTGTTGCAATGCATCAAGCCCAAATTGCCCTGAAGTCTTTTTCTGGAGGAAGCTGCTTGCAGGAGGGATCAGCAGCCCAGAGCATGATTGGAGCAGACACAGCCTGCGTTTCTGCCCTATCTCTCTATGCAACCACGGGGCAGGTTACACGGTCTTTCTAGATCAAATATTGCATTTGTGAGCTGGCAGCAGCTCTGTTCTTTTACCACTGTTCTG